AGCTTACTAGATGAGTTTTATTTGCGAAAATAGTAAAACCTCAGGTATATACCACAGCGTCATTACATAAAATATGCGTCTCTAACCAAATGCGCACGTGTTGTAGGCAATCATTACCGTGGCAGAGCAATTTTTTGTTCTTCGTGGTTGTATGGTATTCGACGATAAACAAGCAATTTATCAAGTGGTCGACTTGTTCTACTATAAACAAGCAGTTTATCAAGTGGTCGACTTTTATCATTAAAACACCCAACTCTTTCGACTTTAACCTCACATGCGCAACCTGTACAAAATAAAAGCTACCATTGGCCGTTAGAAATACTAAAAGAACACGCCCTACCCGCAAAACACGCTCCGACAGAATAAACGCACGTGTTTCTGAAAGTTTTGCCTTTGATAAAACCGACTGAAAAATTAAAACTAGTAGATATAAAATGTCTATAAATATGCGTGTAGCAATTGATAAATTTGATCCACAGCTGAACAAATAAAGTCAAACGCGTACTTTTTCATTCAGTGGCGGAAATGTTGGTGGGGCTGGGGGGCGGCCGCTCCCCCACCTACCGGAAAATTGACGAATTTTCGGAAATTTTGATCGAAAAGAAGGCTAAAAACAGTCTTTTCGAGTGCAAATGGGGGGGGGGGGTATGTCGGAAATTTGAAAGTTTTGTCGGAAATTTAGGAGGCTTTGCCCCCCCCACCGGAAAAAGTGAATTTCCGCCACTGTTTTCATTAACATTTAAGATTGTGAAAGAAATTTCTAGTTTCTATACGCTCTTTCCAGTATTTTCCCCCCAGCTTTTTTTGCGATATAATCGACATTCAACATTCATTTGAGAAAATTCCTATTTGATACCACTACAAGTATAAAACAATCTTTTCAACAAAAATATAAATCTTCATCATTAGTTTTCTATTAAGTGAAGTACTTGCTCATCGACATATACTAAGAGTCTGAGATGTTTGCAATGTCTTCGATGGCCTCACACAGACATGAAGATTGTGAGAGCAAAGTGCGCAAAATGTATACGCTTTACTTCGATCATAAAGTTAGAAATAAAAAGTTAACAATTGCAATACTCTGCATGCAATTCACAGTGTAAGGAAATAATATTTTTACATACCCTTCGCATTATTAACTAGCTGTGCTATATAGAAAATAGCAAATACAAATGATGGATAATCCATTGCAAAAATATCGTCTCAATAGACTGAAGATGCTCCTTTTAATAACCAGTGCATGCAGCGCTTAATAAATTAAAAGCTTTTAGAATGTCTCTTTTATGTATACTGTCTGAAAGGTATTTTACATGTAATTACCCAACGATTCTTCTATTACAGGTAAACTACGTGAGCGTTCTTCTTTTGAGTTTCATAATTAACTTTGCAAATTTGAAAAACTCTTTGTAAATCCAAAGACAAAGTATTACTTAATTTATTTGTGTAATTGAATTTCGGTGAGAAATTGCCGTGAGAAATTGAAGTTTTGCCGTGAGAAATTGAAGTTTTGCCGTGAGAAACTGATGTTTTGCCTGAGAAATTAAAGTTTTCCCATGAGAAACTGAAGCCTTTTTCCGTGAGAAACTGCCGTTTTGCCGTGAGAAGAAAGTTTTGCCGTGAGAAACTGATGTTTTTCCGTGGGCCACCGTACCAACTATTGATTTCCGCCATAATTCTTCCATCAGAATATGTCGATGAGATGAAGACTGAAGTGTAAATGATATCTGGTGATACTGATTTTATAGCAACATTTTGTGTATTTTTAAATTATTGTTGTCAAGGTTGACTGCTGGTGCTGCTGTTATTCCACGTAATTATGTTTTCATATACAATTATGTAAATCAATATTGGGCATTTTATAGTGTCACAATAGTGGATATTGTAAATTTATACATTGTGATTTTGTCACTGAAAAGCCTCAGTTTAGTTTAGGTAGGGCGGAGTGTCATTGAAGTGAAACTTGCTGATCACAAACGTATTTCTTTGAAATAAATCAAATAATCTATCGAGTATCGTAGACTACGTGCACACGGTAACGTTTTGGAGCGTTTTCATTTGCGTTTTCACGCTAAAACGGATGCGAAAACTATTAATTTACGACTGAAGCTGTAGTTTATTTAATATATTGGAGATATTTTCCTTTGAACCACGTGAACAGGGCATCAAAGCGATTAAAGGGACAAAAACGTTTTTGAAAACGCTCGAAAACGACGCCCGTGTGCACATAGCCGTAGAGTAGAGTATACTCGAAAATGTGGGGAGGGTACAGTATATGAATCACCTGTAATCTTGTTGGGTTCGGGGCATGCTCCCCCGAGAAAATTATGAAAATTTGAACCTCGGAAATGCTATTTCCTGCGTTTTCAGCCATGGATTCGTCCAACAACTTTGCTGTACTAACCCTAAGGAACACTTATGTATGTATAAATAATCCCTGTGATGCAGTTGTCCACTGTTCACCCCATGTGTTCTTTTAGGCAAATGCATGTGCCTGCTCAAAAATTCAAAATCTTGCAAGCCTGTGGACACAATGCTGAAGAGACTGAAGAGCGTCAGTAGATTTACATGTAGGAATTTTTCTTTAGGCGTTTAGCGCTCTCTTGTGCATGATATTTTTTTCTCTCGATTGTATGCTGCATGATTTTTTTTTCTTTCTCCTTGGGTTGCAGGAACTTTTTTTCTAAATCTTCCAATCCCCCCCGGCCCCCTCAAAAGTCAAATGGTCCTATAAACAAGGCTCTCCTCCTATGCTCTCCTCGCAGGGTAGGATCCGAAATGTTTTAACATGAAGTATTGCTCCTGGTTATAAAATTCACCGCAGGTGTTTATAGACGCGGGCTGCAAAACAAAAAAGTCCAATATATAATTTTTCTTTGATCAAAATGGTTTAAATTTTTAATTCATTATGTTTATAGTATGGTGTGTAATATTTATAAGCCTTTTCACTGTCGCTCAGGTAATATAATATTAGTATTGAATTAAATAAGATTTGTGGCATAGTGTACGTATAATCACAGTATAATCAAACGATCAGTAACATACGTAATAATTGTATACAATTGGTATAAAATCTTATGGGAAATATCTTCATTTTGCTACTTTAATAAGCAAATATTTGTTTTAAAAACGACTAATTTAAAAACGACTAACTTACTTAAAAACCACTTTGGTTATTAGTCTGTCCAGATGGCTGCCCCAAGGCTCTTGCTAAGCCCTTGGTTATGACTGCAGGTGTATTTTATGATTGACAGACCCAGTATGGTGACGTAAGATGTAAATGTGTATGTCCAAAAGATATGCTTGAACATAATGTGGTTGTCAAGTTTGTGACGGTTGACAATTGGTAGGTCACATCATCATATATTACTAGGGGCGGATCTGGCCTGATTTGTTAGAGGGGGTGGAGGTTTTCCAAAGGAGGTGCATTACTACGGGAATCCGGGGCATTCTCTCCAAGAAAGTGTTGACATTTGAAGCCCTGAAATGCCATTTCTCGCATTCTGAGGATTACGTTTATTTGTTATCTCGGGCAAGAATTAAGAAAAGTGCTATGTTATATGGTGACCTGCCATATTTGAATATTTTCTTGCATATTTGAAAATCAATCATAATGATTTAAAATTTTCAATATAATAAGTAGTATTCACAACTCAAATAGGGAATGCCAGAGTTTTGTTCAAGGAGGTGCTGGACACGACTACGGGGTTGCACACCTGCCCCTCCCTCCCCCCCCACAGATCTGCCCCTAACATATACCCAGTTATTCCTTCCCCTGACATTAGTAAAATCATCTAGCATTAGACAGAGCAACATAGAGTAGCACATCTTAGGGGGATTGCATCTTTAAGAAAAGACAAGCATTAGATAGTCTGGTTAATGAGTACAAGTGCTCTCCCCTTGACATATATAGTAAAATAATGTGGTGTTAGACATAGTAAAATAATGTGGTGTCAGAATAAGTAAAATAATAAAGTAGGGCGCAATGCAACTTAATAAGTTAAGCGCGTCTGCCCTGGCTCAGAAATGGGAATTGCAATAATAATATTACGCCAATGTCTTCAGTTGATATTTGATACTAAACATTAGAGATATTCTATTTTAGTACATGTAAAAATTTAATCAATTTGAAAGACACTCTTTGTCTGCGATGCAGATGTGAGTACGAGGCAAGAAATACAATGTTAATTAAGGTAATAATTAATAAATATATAATAACTCACAGAGCCTGTATAATCTGAAAACATTGTTGTTTTTAAGCAATTATTTCTCTGTATTTTAGGTGGTGGTGATATTTATAGTGCTTGTATTGGTAGCTCTGATTGTCTACATGATAGGTTTAAAGGTGTATTCATTCTGGAAACCAGAAGATTTAAGTGTAAGATCAGATGTAGTAAGTATTTTGTTTTCATTGTATATAGCTAGTGAGGATGTATAATTATGTTATGTTTCTAGTTGTTATTTCAATTTTTGATAACGTCAAGTAACCTGGCTTGCACCAATGTTATATATCATAAGTTGCAGTGACTATATTCTATATTCTATTCTACCAAAAAAGTCTATAGGTGGCCTACAAGAAATGTTCTAATTCCCTATAGAAGCCTTTTAATTAAGGCACCTATATAGCTCAATAGGCATTCCTATAGGTACCTATAGAAAATGTCCTATAAAAACCTAGCTAGTATAGGTTACCTATAAGAACCTACAGGTTGCATGCCTACAGACTTTTTTTGGTAAGGGATATTCTATTGTATTGTACGAGTACAATTTTGGCTGATCTTCAAACATCAACCGTGCATGGTTATAATCGCAGCCTTTCCACATGCTAGAGAGGCAGATCATTGCTACATATGCAATTAAATAGTAATACCTAAACATGTTCACTTCTGATACCTTTAATACCCATCAATATTTGCAGCTTCAGGAGAGACTTATTCAAAGATCTAGAACATTAACACGGCTCGATAGCACAGTGTCAAAATGGAAAGATAGCGTTGAAAATCAAAGACGTAACGTTTACAATCATCACTCAATGCTTAGCTAGAACTTTTGTAGTTTTGTAAATATATAGTTTGTAAACAATTAAAAATTAACTCAAATAATTACACACGAGAATGTATAAACATTACAAGTTAGAATAAAACCAATATAAAACAACAAAACTTATCCTTTGACTAAAAATTATTACAAATGATTGCAAATGTGCTTGGACATTTAAAACTTAGAACAATGGTCAAACTCAAAGATTCCAGATATTTATTTCCATGATGTACAAGAAAACGTACAGTTTACTGTAGTTGTGCAGTGCCAGTATGCCACACTGTAACTGACCATTCTTTTGCTGGACCACACTCATGTGTTCAGTGTTGCAGTTTGGACTGTTTTGCAGATTCTACTGTTTGCAGTTTCTACCGTTTTGCAGTTTCTACTGTTTTACCCAAAAAGGCCTTGTAAAGATACCAATTTAATGGAGACTTGCATGATCTACAGGTGCAGCTATGGTAAATATTTGTACCAGAAAACAACCAACGATATGTGATGCTCACCGTCTCGGCATTGTAACTGGTCGATAGAGAAGTGTTGTTATAAATTTCTTCCTGTATCGAATACATGAACTGACCACCATTACACCATCCTACATGAACACCAAACCAAAATACAAGTTAGAATGGTTTAATAATTTAAAACAGGACTAGGGGTGCACCGGATTTGGAATTTTCAAATCCGTCCGGAACCGGATTTTCCGGATTTGGACAAAAATTCCGGCCGGAATTCCGGCCGGATTTGAGATAAACCGGTAATGGGGACAATTGGGGATAAATCAGTATTCAAAATGACGGTTTATGTTTTTTACTATTTTTAGTTAGTGTCAGTTTAGATTTTTGATTGTGTTTAATAAACCTTTTTTAAACATGTTTTTGTTAATAACTTAATATTTTATAATAATGTAAGTGTTTTTTAAACTTTAAAGCTGCCAAATTGATGGTTTATCCCATTCTTCGTGAATTTTTTAAGGTGAAAACAGAAATTTAAATCCGGCCGGATTTTCTCCAAATCCAGCCGGAAGCCAGAAAATTTGTTAAATCCGGCCGGAATTCCGGCCGGATTTGAAATCCGGTGCACCCCTAAACAGGACAGAGATTTAACTGAATTTCAAACAATACAATGCAGGTCTAAATTTCCACAATTACATCATCCATATGCTCCAGCATTTAACTGTGCAGCACCATTTAACAATGATTGTTATCACATAATGAACATACCTTAATTGACAAAGCATACAGGTGATTAACTGAAACATGATTAGGTTCATGTAGTAACGAGGGTTCGTTAACATTTGGCACTCGTTTGTTTAAATTAACATTGAGTAGGTGAGGTGGCACGGCAGGGGGGACACTTGAGTGAACAACCTTTTCTTTAACAACCATAGGTGTATGATGGGAAGGAATCAGCTGACCATATGAGCCTTCAGTTGAAGTTGGGCTAATTGCAATTTGAGCAAGTCTCTTGTCATCTGAGTTTAATGCAGACATTACTTCAAAATCAGACTTCTTAATAGAAACAACATTGTTTCTGCCTCCAAATGTATCATTGGTAGTTGGCTATAACACAATAAATGAAAAGTATTTAATGAATTAATCTAAGAAACTGGTTTCCATTGACTTGCTGATTGTGGCCAAGTTATGGTAACTGATGTAATCTGGATCTCTCTGATATGTACATCTTTTTTGTCCTGTACACAAACCAATCTTTACTGATTGCAGAAATATATCAGCACACAGGCCACCTTACATTGACAAGTATTTGGTCACAAGCAAACTGAAACTTACTATGTTAGGATCATGAACCCATTTTCCATCAACAAGATATTTAAACTCATGTTCTCCCTCAGGCAATTCAATAATGGTTTCAAATTCTCCATTACTACAATAAAGAAGACAGAGCAGTTAAATTAAATATTAAAGCATGAACAGAGCTCCCTCTAGTGATTAAACAATGATAAGGAAATTGGCAAGGAGGTGTGGGCACCCCTCCCCCTCTAAATTGGTCATCCTTAGTTGCAAATGAATGGCATTTGGCAAATCAACTCCCCAATACCTTGAGTTCATTGGAATCCTGGCATTCCACTCAGAAAAACTTCCAGCTAAAAATACTTCTTGACCACCACGATCCCAGTGAAACACAGTTGGAATTGTTCTCGTCCATTGTTCATCCGAATCAAATTCCTCGCCTACACCAAGGCCTAAATCTTCATTACTCTCATCTGAACCAAGGTCTAAATCTTTGACACCATGAACTTCACCATTTGCATCCGGGCTAACTGTGTCTCCATTACAGAATACATCTGTAACTAGGGCAATGTTACTATCAAGTGCTGAAAATGAAGTTACTAAATTAGTGGGTTGTGTACTGCAGCAGCTTGTCAACCTACAGCTATGCTGTAAATAGCATTGAAAAGGCAACAATTTCTGAAGTTGATCAACATCTAGCAAAGTGGTTGTTAACATTATAATCATCAAAAAACTTACTTATAATATCAAGCTTTGGCAGATACTTTTCTGTATTAAGAATGCCATTGTGAACAATATTTGCATCTGTCTCAAAATCAAAACTGGTTGTGGGTTGGCTCACACGTCTCTCTTCACTGCCTTGGGTTGAGTTAACATGACCCATTCTCATTTGAACCCATGAAATTTGCTTTAAATATAGTCTTGATTCAAACGTCTATGGACAGAAATCTTCCTAATTGCAATAAAACGATTATAAATATAAGTCGTCTGCGATCTTTGTATGATTTAATAACCTAAATATTTGTAATCCTTAATACAGTACACACACAAATCCAATATATAAGTAATCCAATATTATTAAAATCCGTGCTAAATATCACGTTATACCCTAATATCTAAAGATTTAAAGACTTTAAACGATATATAATACAATAACTTCAATACTTTTAAGTTGAAATAGCATTCATTATATATTTATATGTGTAGTTGTTACAGTATATTGTTTATAACTTTCTACATGTCATAGACACTACACAACTGTTGTTTATCATTTATACACGTCGCATTCATTAAATCCCGTTACTTGATAAATATCACTGATAAACGCACATACCTTGCTCACTGAATCTTTTACCATCAAAAGTTATTCATACCCACTATCATTTAATGATGAAAGGAAAAGCATAAAGCGAAAATATTGGAAAATATTCGATAAAAAACTGTTAAATAAACAACAAAAAGAACTTTGCACGCAACGTCGTACAGAATGGTGCAAAGTCCAACTGAGCCCACATATCATAACATTTACCACAATACTTCGTATAATGTTTCATCTATCGATCTTGTCGACCGATAATTTCTGTAAATTAATTAATCAATAATTGACCGATAATTAGATAATTACTAACATTAATTCATAATTGACTGAAAATTACCAAGCACTGCAGTGATCTTATCAAAATTGAGTAATGTTTTCATCTATATTTTATTATAATTATTAAATAGATTTGTATCATGACATCTTAATTGGACAATAAATAAGTACATGAAGGAATAAAATATTATATTGTGCTTTAAAAATGATCCTATTTATATTGTTTTAAAAAGTTCGTAAAGGTAAAGTTTCACTGCATGGAAAGTGAAAGACATTACCTCAGACATTAGTCCAGGACATTACCTCATTCACACATCCCATTTGATCAAGCAAAGCAGCGAGGCACCAAATAAATTGTTACCAAGTATAAACTTTCACGGCGTTTTATCTACCAATTTGTAAACATGAAACGTTCTGTTTGCAAAAACTTTCTTGAAATACGGAGAAAAACCAGCGTGATCTCTCTTGATTGCGTCACAAAACCGAGGCACGTGACTACGTACCAGACCCTTCTCCACTTCGCCATCCTCGATCATGTGACCATTATCATAATCCAAGATATCCTTGAGTTTACATCCTTTCTCAATGCGTGAATAACAAATACTGTTTTCCAAAATAATATAATTTGTGCCATGTTTCTTCAAGATCATATATACATCTCTCGGAGTACGGCGAGCGTACATTTGATAAATCTAGACAAAAGTTGAAAATAGAATGATTGACATAAATTTTCTAGAAAGCACGCGCAACCCTAGGACTTTAGGAGGAGAAATTTTATAAATTCAAGGACTTTCAAGTTACTTGTTGTGTTGTTGCTAACTCCAAAAATTATTTGGAGCTAGTTATCTAGCGGCACACTTTGCCTTTTTGTTCTCGTTCGGAGGCTAAATTTTGTGATCTGCAGTTGCAGCGCAACCCATTCTCGTACCCCTCGATCCTCGTCATGCTCTGTTGACCGCGTGTAAGACGGGCTCTGGATGCGAGGATGTGGCATAGCCTAGCTCCATTTGAAGATTGGCTACCTCCACAAAAATAAAATCTACAGGTATGCCGGACTTTCAAGTTTTCTGATACGAATCCTGGACAATGTCATCCAAGCGCAGTATATGGTGGTCAACCTGTACTTTACCAGAATGAGAAAATAATTCTTGGCATTATAACATACGTTTTGAGGCAAATAGACAGAATGAACGGATGTAGTTCAATTTTCTTTTCCCTCCCAGTGTCAACATGTAGTTGACCATCCAGGGTCTGAAATTTAAATATTTTCTCAGTATCCAACTGGGGTACCAGGTTTCAAAGTTTAGTATCCCCCCTGAGAATGCAGTATCCCACTTCTGGATACTGGTTACCATAAGTATTATACCCTGTCCCATCCAATAACTCTCGCTGTTACAAATTACAGTAACAACAGTAGATTCAACAGTCAAGTTGTCAACAACTAGACAATTAATTAATCCACAAAAATGCACATTATATGAGGAAAGGCTTGGGTGGCATGTATTATTCAAATAGTATTCAAAAGCTATCAGGAGACTGTCAGAGGTGCTTAACATTTTCCTAATGTTTGAAATTTTCTTAGTATCCAGTTGGGATACAAGTCATTCACAGTTTGGTATCCAAAACCAAATTTTAGTCTCCCGTGGATATCGGGATACTGCATATTTCAGACCCTGCCATCACCTGCTGCTTATACTGAACCTACCAATATGATACTTACATCTTTTGTTCGAAGTCTTAAAAATTTATTTTCATAATGAGGATGATTTGTGATGTGTCTGTCAGTGCACAGTTTTACTCCTGCCAGAAGCTGCATACTACCACTAAATGACGCATCTTTGGCTGTATTCTCACTGCAAAAGGAATAACAGGTTCTGAACGAATCTTCAGCAAACTAAACTTATCTGTACTTCATAGCTCTAGAGATCAGTGCTAAACTGCTTTCCCTAGAGTAGGGGCGCTCAAAACTACTATTTTATTCATACAGGTTTTTCTTATAGGTACACAAAAAAAACAAGTAATTAATGGACATTTGTTATTAAAGGGAGAAAACCTGTGGTGTTTGGTAGAATCTAGACTTGATTAAACGTACAAAGTTGTCCTTCAGTAGCATTTTATAAATGTTGTTGGTTCAAGTGAGGCCAAAAGCTACTGTTAAAAGTAAAGTAAAATTAGGCGGAAATTTTATTTTAAAACTATAAGAATATAAAAAGTTTAAACTTTTAAACTTTTTATATTCTTATAGTTTTAAAATAAAATTTCCGCCTAATTTTACTTTACTTTTAACAGTAGCTTTTGGCCTCACTTGAACCAACAACAATCTAGACTTGCTTCAAAGTCAAATCCCTTTGAAAGCAGTCTTCTCGCATGCGATTGAGGCGCAATTATAATCAGACAACATCATATTGCAAGAATCCAAGGCTTCCAAGCCCAACGCCTATTCTATTATATCATGGACTTACTTGATAAATTTCATCAACTCTACAGTATCTGGATCATAAAATTCCTTCAAGTCTTTTAATTCATTTAATGCTGTTTGAAGTCTCTGCGATGAGATTGAATAAATGAAGCAAAATAATTACTGGTTATCAAAGACAAAGAAGAAGAATTAATCTAATTATAAATGTGTTACTGAAATGATAAAAATCACAATAGATATATTTACCTGGGATAACACCAACGCAACGAGCAGTAATGGAACACAATGTCCAAATATTTTACCCTAAATAAATAATGTCTGGTAAATAAATAATCCTCAGTATCCTCCTAATTTAATACAAAGCCTATTTGAAATTTTTTATTCCAGATAAAATGGCGATTTTCAGTTTCCTTCATGTATGTTTTTTTTGTTCCCAGATAGGGAGACTTCATTCCTCGAAGGCTCGAAAAAATATGGAAAGATTTTCCTGTACATTAATTACCTCTTAGTAAAAACGAACTTCTATTATCTAGGCGTCAGTTAACAATGCACAATCCTGTATACGTCTGAGATCAGTTGTGTTCTTACCTTAATCCCAGGCATAAGGAGTTTAGAGAACAAAAACCTCCACCAGGCCTGGTTACAAAATATTCCCGCGCCAACGACACAAATATGAGGCATCCATAAAAACTTGAATCTTAATGTAGATACAGCCATGATAGCAAAGAAAGCTGTTTGGATGAGATGGTAGACCAGGTCAGGTCTCGACTTCATTGCTGTGTTAATGTTGTCTGATGATGGCGTCTCTGAGTCTTCACTGAAAGTTAAGATATGAAATCGTAGGATGTTTGTCGTTCAGTTCTACATAGGGTTTCGTCGTTCAGTTCATAAAGGTGGAGTAATACGGGCAACAAAATTGCTGCAACTTGCAACAAAATCTGATTTCTACGCATGTTAATTGAAAATGTTTACACATAAATTACAAATCACGAGGCAAACATGTGTCAACATTTCTACTTAACATGCGTTGAAATCAGATTTTGTTGCAAGTTGAAAAAAAAAAGAAGAAGAAACAAGAAGAAGAAAAAGAAGTAGAAACGTTTGATTCTCTTATAGGGTCAGTCAGTTACTCCGTGTTTGAACTAGCGGTCAATTTTAACGGCTAAATGCGTATAGCCATATAGGGGGACATGCCCCGTACACATTTTCCTCTAAGAAAAAAACCTTTGCCTCACCTCCATTCCTGAAGGACTGCAATCCCTAACAAAACAAGACCAACAATGACAGCAAGGACATAACATGGGAACACGATTCCATGAGTAAGACGCCCGTATGTGTCCAGAGGTAACATACGGAAAGACACCTCACACAGATACAACATTGCATCAAAATCCCTAAAGATATTGAAGATGATTTCATATGAAGGAAGACCGGAGTAATCTTAGGATGGCAAGTGCCTTTCGCCTCTGAGATCGTGGGTTCGATACCACGGAGACATGATCCCATGACACCTAGGCCGCGTTCTTAAAGCTACGTTTACACTTGCAATTTTTGCTGCGATTTTCTTCTTCTGATGGATGTGAACGAGTGGATAAGTTACAAATGTTCAGATGAAGGTACATGCACTCCGAACATTCGTAACTCCTGTACTCGTTTACATCCATCAGAAGGAGAAAATCACACTAGAAATCGCAGCAAAAATTGCAAGTGTAAAGGTCCAGACACACCAGACGCGATTCGACAACGCGACGCGATTTTTCGATTTTCACTGACCGATAACTTTGATTCTAGTTTAAATTTTCCAAATATTTAGAAGCGGTATAACATTTTGAGTTATTTGAGCCCCGTTTACACTACGCTCAATTTTTGGTACGGTACGGATAAAATTGGTACCCGTACCACTTTTCTGGTTCTTGGACTACCTATTTAGGTAGTCCCGGAACCAAAAAGTGGTACGGTACCAAAAATTAAGCGTAGTGTAAACGGGGCTTAGCTAAATAGGTAGTTAAAGAACCAAAAAAGTGGTACGGGTACCAATTTTATCCGTGCCGTACCAAAAATTGAGCGTAGTGTAAACGGGGCTTTGGTGTGCATTATCTTTCAAAATTTGCTCTCAGCTGGTTTATTAACTTTCAAAAACTAAAAAATCGCGTCGCGTTGTCGAATCGCGTCTGGTGTGTATGGACCTTAAACAGGCCTTTTAATAGTATTGTGTTTACACTATAACGGTTTGCCGTAGCCGCCTACCAACTACGGACCACTACGCTTGGCACTCCAAATACAAATCAATACCCTATGGTAAATTTGTCGTAGCGTTATAGTGTAAATGTGTACAGCACAAAGGATCAGTCAATGCTCCAGATACTCCGTTTTCCTCCTACAAGGAATGTTAAGAAGGTAGCCAGCGACAGCGGTGGCAGCAGAAGCCCAAGGATATAACCCAAGGATATAACCAAAATCATGAGCAAATACGAACCTTTGAGCGTCAAAGCCAAATTTAGCACGCAGGAACTTGAAGATATGTTCATCTGAACTTGCCTGGACAAGAATCTTGAAATGTAGGTTGAAATGAAGTCAGTGATGGTCATGTACTGTATGTTAAAATACAATGTTGGTCAAGTATATCTGCTGATGCATAAAAGAAGACAACATTCTGACCTTTGACAAAGCATTGAGAAGAAACGTGAGCATAAAAACAGCAGCAATACGTGCAATGAGGCTGAAGAAATTTCTCACGATACCACGAGCTGCACTTGTTTGCTACAAAGTTCAAAGTAGAAAAAACTTTAACAAAGTTTTCTAATAAAAACTTTAATTAATTAATAAAGTTTTTAATGCTATTCAGTTACGTGTGTTAATTTTAAACAGACACTTTTCAAGTGACAGGTTGACAGGAACCCAAACTAAAGGCCATGTTACATGGTGCAATTTTTCTTGCAACTTGCAATGCAATTCTACTCTTGAGAGATGTTAATCAGTGACGAATTTTCGATATGTTGAGAAAACATCAGCGGAGTGTAATGAAGACTCGTATTTGGCAATTTTATATCTCTCAAGAGTAGAATTGCATTGCAAGTTGCAAGAAAAATTGCACCGTGTAACATGGCCTTAAGGTGTAATTTGCCTCTAATATATAGAACTTTCACTGTAATATATTTTGATCAGAGAAACTTAGATAACAAACCTGCTGTACCTGTACAGCAATCACAATCAGTGATGCCAAAGAAAAGCTCAATGCCAAAGATCTTATGATCATATCATTCATAAACTGTAGAATACACACTGCCATTAGCGAACCAACTATAATGATGAACATATTACGAACCTAAACAACATGAAAAATAGTTTTACTTCGTATAAGCAGTTTCTAAAGCTAATGAGGGATTAAATCTTCAGGTACTAAATGGAGAAATTAGGATAAATGGAGAACTGGGATGGAGAGGGGATTCAACTACCTGAAATTTTATAAAGTTTTACAAAATTTGTTTTGTTTACAAAAGTTATATGCTTATATTATGCATAGATTTCTAATTTGTCCTCCAGATGCATCGTCACAGGCGCTGTGACGTCATGTGCAATGGGTCTATACCTGGATCAAACACCTGCAGTGTTTGGTCGAGGCAAACTCATGGTGCTATCATACTTGTAACTGAGGTGAAATATGATCAGACAACATCGATACTTGCAGAGATGAATAACACAATGCACTATCTCGTGTATCATTAGTTTAAAATCCATTAGTTTAAAATTACTACTGACCTTGTGCCTGGGAACATATTTGAGGGAATAAACAGCAAAAAATGCCATTGCTTGCAACAGGAGGATAAACTGTGCAAATTGCCAAACCAGAGTAAACAAAAATGTCAAAATGCTGATGACAAATAAACACAACATCTAAACAAAATAAACAAAACACTGACATGTGATAATGAAATATCATGATTACGTTAATACAATTCTGGTTTCCTGACTTTCCTCCTGCAGTCACACTAAATGAAGGGTGACACTTCTGTAGGAAGAATGCTAATTACCTCTTTCCAAGTAGAAGTATTTTGTTTAAAGTAAGCTGTAACCATGGCAATTTGAGCATACAAAAAAGGAAATCCAAAACTTTCTCTTAGAGGAATGGTGAATGATAGCCTTGTTGTGTCCACTCTATAAAAATAAAATAGAAACTAGACATTACTGGGGCGGAAGGGGGTTTCAAAAGTTTTTCAATTTTTGTTCTAGATCTATTGTTCAATTGATGTCATTTCTATTGTTCTTTACGTGTATTATGTAACAGATCAGGTGCACCCCTACAAAAAATGAAATGCAGGGGGGGGGTACACCCTTGAATGATGTACACAGTGGAAATTTGACTAGTACGGTCAATACCAAGTTACAAGCCAGGGGTAATTGTTTGGTTGTTAGAGCCCAGGGAAGTTGTCACCACCCTCTGTTTCGCCCATGAAAATTGTCATATGACATAAGGAAGACAAAATGAACAATAAAACAAAAGGTAAGTACTATAAAAAAGCCATACTTATTAAATATAAAAAAGAAAGTTGCCAGAACACCAGCCAACCATGAGCCACTCAATAACCATGATGCGACAAATAGCGAAATCATGTATAGTCCATGCAATCCAAATACTGTATTGATGTAGAAATACACATACTCTACTGAATTCTAGAAATAACAAAGATCAAAAACATTAATATATTTGGAGAGAAACATGTATACATCACTCAATTGATCAGTCAACCAGCCAGTCAATTACTTGGTTGTTGGTTGGTTATGGCTCTGAGGACAAGGTCAAAGGTTTTATGGTGACTACACATACCATCCAAGGAGATAATCTATACAGAACACCCAGGATGACTTCTTGGTAAATATTAAATCTTTCCAGAATATTAATCGTTCTCAAATGTTCCGTCTTGTTATCATACATCAAGTCATGAATACCTAAAATTACAGTCAGCATTCAGATAATTTCAATGCAACAGTACTGGTACCTGACAAATCTTTGATGTTTAAATTACAGTATGCATTCAACTTAATTTCCATTGTGAAACGAAAACCAATGAACTAAGTAATGTACCTTCTGCAATAGATGGAGCCAACACTAATTGCTTATAGTAAGAGAAATATAATCCAGATTCTGTCCGGAAAGAAATCTCACGTTCTAATTGCTGTAAGTATAAACAAATTGAGATTAGAACAACTGTTTCATTGAAACTTGGCTGGGTTTTAATAGTCATTGGTGGCCATGCAATTTCAAAAATGTTGACACTGTTACAGGAGCAAGAAAATTTGGCTATGCATGGTAAGGGGGGGGGGGTGTGAAATAATTCGCTGAAATAATTTTTCCGGAAAAAATTTTTTCGGTACTAGTCTCACTCTTAACTTCTCTGCAAAGTTGAGAGGTCTGCATAGTGTCATTAATGTCTGGGGGTGTTTTAGCCGTCAAACAATGTCCAGCCCTGGTGCACTAATCTGCGAGCAAATTCACAGCCCCCGGGAGTGGTGTGCCCAGAAAATACCCGGCAGTGTCCCGGGGGGGGGGTTACTCATGGAATTGACTCATGCATAATAATTATACTGGTATTTAAATCCAGTCAAAAAACGGTGCCAAACTTGCCTGAATATTTGAGAACCACATATCATTCTCATGTAGTTGTTTCATATATTCTGCATAACGATATCCAATATATAATGCAAAACATGTTCCCAACAAAATATTGAAATAAAACCAGACAGAGTTATATTTCTCGGAGCTTTCATCCTGCAGACGGACGCCATTGCTTGCCTTTCCATCTTTCGTTTTAAATTTTGCCTCGTCCATCTTTCCTCGCTGTTTCCGGCGTCGTATTTCCGACATTTTTGAGAATTATGGCTCAAATTATTCCAATATGTTATTTCAAACAAGACTATCTTATCTCTTTATAAATGTTCAAAGAAACTTGACGTGTACCAAATTAACACCGGAACACCCCCCGGTTGGCTGGCCGTTCAGACTGACACCTGCTATAACACCTGCTGTCTGACAGGGGGAATGCAAAACATGGCTAGAATTTTGGAAATATTTATTGTAGAAATCTGACCAGTATTTTAGGATAACAATATTCTTTTGTTAGAAATTAATTGATAGATTTAGATTTTAAAATTTTCTTTCTGTGGAGAAATCAATATCACAGCCAATAAACTGGGATACCTGTGGCGAACATATAATACCACTGAACTATATATAACACACTGTATATAGTTTCACTGATAATAAATACTCGAACATTGCAATTGCTCAAGTTTTTGTTTACTAGTATTTATTTCTTTGAGTTCAGTATGAGTTTACGAAGTATTTTCAACAAAGCTTCACGTTCAGTTTCTCAGTTATTATGTAGAAATCAGAGATACCCTGCCATAATCCCGCAAAGATTACGCAGTGATGATAGGTATGAGTCACGATTCTGGCATGCTAATTAGCTTTATTTAATTGTACTTTTAAATTTCTAGGTTTCATTGTAAAATAGTGCTGGCAGATAGTGCCCAACTTTGGAATTATATAATCAATTTTATTTATTTGAAGCAAAGTATTAACATCTCTCACTCCAGTATAACTGGCAGTTGGTTGATCAGACCCACCCAATATCTAGTGGGTCACTATTTGGACAACTTTTGTACCATATACAGCCAATGCAAACCATGCCCTGGTTTTGTCGGGGATCCATGCTTGCTTAAATGTTCATGGTAGTGTTTTTTCTTTGCTAGTTTGGACAGTTTTGATGACAATCCATATTCGTTTGTTGATGAAACATTTTTATCAATGAAAGGAAGAAATGAACTTGAAATTAAACATTTATTATGGATTGCAGCCGATCTTAAGGAAAGAATTAAAAAATGGAATGAGGTGATCACACTAAAGACTCAAAATATCTGCATACTGTTGTGATTAAACCATATCCAAATTTTACAGTACACACCTCCTATAGTCACAACATAGAGACAGAAGGTCGACTCAACCAAAAAAAGCGTAACTGCCGCCAATGCCATTATTTGTAATGATTTGTCATCAGAATGCTGTTGCCATGTTCCTAGCCAGTGTGGTTATGAGAGGCATTCACCCCCCTGAACATTACCCATTTTAAAGATTTTCAGGGGGGTGAATGCCTCTCCTAAGTGCACTGGCTAGGACCAATGGGACCATGGCGACAGCACTGCAACAATCATAGGCAAAACCAAGGCAATTTCAGCTTATGCCAAAATCATAGGCAAAACCAAGGTTCCTATTCTGTGCTATAGTATTGACCCATTCGGTGAAATTCCTCCATAATCGTTGTTGAAATTCAATTATAGCTATGTTTCTTTACTGGTATGCTTTTGTAAATATTTTCAAGACAATCAGACCACTAGAAGGAAAGAGTGTTGCAATGATTTTCCAAAAGAGAAGTACACGAACAAGAGTCTCGACTGAAACAGGTCCTTTTTCCCCCATTTTTATTTTCATTTCTGTCTTCTTCTTCTTGCTATCTTGTTTGTTGTCTGATGCCCTCTCACAAAAATGAAATCAGTATAAAATAGTCTCATTCTGACAGGTGTTGCACTGCTTGGTGGCCATTCGGTATTTCTGACTGAAAGTGATATCCATCTTGGTGTGAGTGAATCATTAGCAGATACTGCAAGGTTGGTTTGATAGAAATTGATAGCTTCAGTAAGTGTTGCCAGTAAATGATGGTCACCTTGATAGGAGCAGGATAAAATTTATAAGTTTCCACAAATTACAAGACTACCTCATATAAGGAAAAGAAAATTAATCAATGGGAGAGCGCTGTCATTAATTAATACCATTTTCACATTATGAAAACTGCAGATTGACCACCATCTGCTGTATGATAGTGCTTAGTTAATAAATGACAGTGAAACCTACATGTTACTGTAGTTACACTCTACCACCACCAATGTTTGATGAAATGTTTCCAGAGTTCTTTCAGGATTTGTGGATGTGATTCTTGCAAGAGTTAATGTTCATGATGATTTGAAAACACTCGCGAAGAATGCTTCAGTCCCAGTTGTGAAGTATGTGAAGTAATTCCCTTGATTTTCATTGAATTATTATCACTGCATGCCTCTGTTTTACAGTAATTAGAATCACAGTAATTGATTAATTAATTAGAAATATTGGAATATTACACTTTACCTTCTCCCTTTATCTTTTCTCAGTGGTCTTTCTGACATATTTCATCCATTGCAAATATTGGCCGACTTTCTCACTTTACAGGTAAAGGAATTCACTATGACCACTCAGCAACCACAGGGGCCAGGGCTAAGCCATAAATTGCCAGTGTAGACAGGGAAGTGAAAATTAAGATCTTTGACATTCCATGTACCTGATCTGTAGCTACATTTGTACACTGTGATTTAATTAACTGTGATTAATCACACCGGTCTCAGATCCATTTATAAGGAACTTGAAGAATACGAAATTGAGACCATTTGGTAACATCATCAACTGAAAATATTCCTCACAAACATACCTTTAGGTCACTTCTGTGAGGTGCTGAAGAATACTTCTGTTTAACTTTAGGAACATTATGGGTATCTGCATGGCTTGAATCTTGCCTGGGTTGGAGACGGAAACAATATAACACATTCATTAATGATGGCTGCACCGAAAGTGGGCATCAACTTAAACATTGCTACACCAAAGGTATTGTAAAGATTTACTAAATATAATTGACTTAGGCTTCAGTCAGAATAATTTCAGACCTAAGTTGCTGTGTGGTGAGTCCATCTAGTCGAGTATATATGTTAAGCACTATATACAAGGGCACGTAACCAAGCAATGTTCCTCAATTTTTTCATTTAAGGGCTATGAACCACACACAGACTTAAGAAAGGCTTGTGCTGAGTTTGCTGAAGAGGTGAGTTAGTATGTGAAGAATGTGGGGTCCCCCCCCCCCCTCCCCTAGTGTCTGCCACTGCTGATTTATTAAAATTTCCAGCATGGTACAAGCGTGAACTACACATCAGACCCAAGAGAAGCTTGTGCAGGAGCGAATGTGATAGTCACTGATACGTGGGTGAGCATGGGACAGGAAACTGAGGCACAAAAGAGACTAAAGGATTTCAAGGGATATCAAGTGAACGACGAGGTAACAAGAGTGTGGTATCTGTTTATGTTTATCAAAGTTCATATGGGAAAGCTTTCAATCTGTACGCCTGGATTTGCATCAGTGCAAATATAATAAAAGTAATATTATGTGGAAGTCTTTACAAAAGTCTTTACACAACAAGGGCTTTGCATATTACAAAAATTAATGCCAAAACAACGAGTGACTGAATGACATAGAGAACAGTGGGATCTTCAAAACAATGAAAAGATAATGGAGCATTTTGATAATTGGATTGGATGACAAATGACAATATCAATATAAAGTGTGATATGCAAAAGGCTATAATAATACTTCTCCTTGGAGTTTCATAATAATTAATATAAATTTCCAACATTTAGCTGGTGAAGGTAGCAGCAGATAATTGGACATTTCTTCATTGCTTACCTCGCAAACCTTATGAAGTGTCAGATGAAGTATTTTATTCTGATCATTCACTAGTCTGGCAGGAAGCTGAAAATAGAAAATGGACAGTCATGGTAAGATTTGATTATACTATTACTTACACTATTGAAAAATATAAACTAGTCCTGACAGCTGAGAGCCGAGTTGAATTACAAACAATGCACCTTATCACGGGGTGCTCACAGCTACGACTAAATGAGCGAGGTTGGTTTGGGGCTTACCCCCACCCATCAATTCACCCTGTCAATATTCTCTGCAGGGAGGAAAGAGGAAACCAACAACTTTCAGTAGAGCATTGATGGATGGCTTTCACATAAATTTCACAAGTTGACACTAACTCAGGCAAATCTCAATCTCGTTCTCAGAGTATGCCTGTTCGCGGGTTAGGTAGTGGCACAAACAGGCATACTCTGGGAACGAGATTGGCTTTGTCTTAGAGCTTTCGTTGGTAGGGATGCATTATATTTTTCAGGTAGTTGCATCCATGCCAATGAAAGCTTGTTATAATATTATTGGCACTACCTACACAGTGTAGGTACAGACAGTTCAAAAAACCTTAGAGCTATCTGTTGTTATATGATGAGAAATCTTCTGAAATTAAGTTGGTCCTAATAATTTTATGCTTATACTTTGCTACATTCCAGTGGTGTAACAAACTCGATAATTGGGGGCAATATTCATATAATTGTGTTCAGACTTTGAAAACAATTGATTTCAAAAGAAATTAATAAGGCAGAACACAAATATATGAATATTGCCCCTCCCTCCCAATTATTGAGTTTGCTATGCCACTGCTACATTCTAATAAATAAATTATTTTTCAGGCTGTCATAGCAAGCTTGGTGACTGACCTTGAGCCTGAAATTCCTGTACCAAAGTGGAAACAATAAATCCCTATGAAGAAATTGAGAATTTTTGTGTACAGAGTTTAATTTAATATAGGCAAGGGAAAACTTTGCTTAAAGTATTAAAATAAGTTTGGTAGCACTTAGAAAACTTCTGTAATGCATAGGAATGTTTAATAAAAACAATTACCTGAGTCTTGTATGAACATATCTCTGAAGTTGAGTCCACCATCTATAAAACACTGACTGAAATACAAATACTCAATCCTTGCTTCATCTTCAATAAAAAGTCGATGCTCTAAAACTTCTTCAAAATATTTCAGACTATGATACGAGTGTACGACTTTATACCCAACTTCTCTATATCTCATCGGATGCAAAATGACATGACATATATAAACTGATACAATTTTAATTCTGTTTAAAACAACATGTACAATACATTTTTGAGAATCATTTAAATACGAAGAACCTCTCAATTTCCCTAGTCGGATTTATTTTCTTGAATAAATTATGTATGCATGTATTCTATTATGGTGAAACAATCTTCCTTCGGTTTATATTTTAAAGAAATGAATGACTACTAATATCACATTTTTCAAAAGGGGCATAATTGCAGCGAGTGAATTAAAATTATATACTTACAGTATTAGTTACATTAAATAACTAACCAATCTTATACATTTTAATTAATAATGGGATCTCTAATTTACAGTAAATGTATCGATATTCGAGCATGCGCTTAACTTAATGAATCTAACATTTAAATTGTGTGTTATCACAAGTTATGAGTATATAAATTACCTAGTACAGCAAAACTGTTGACGTTTGCATGTAAAGACGAACAATGCCAGAAAAAAATTCTATTTTTTCACATGAAACTTTAGTGCATGGCTGCAGAGGTGAAGAACTTAGAGGGCAATGGTACCATCTCAAAATTTAGTTGAATTGAGAATCCTGATGATACAGGGCAACTCCAAAAATCATATGGAGACAGTGGAGCCAGCTATATAAACCAAGTGACTACCAACTCAAAAGTCCTAGGCTACCTTCACATTTGTAAAACCATGGATAGTTAAAACAATTTATGATCTCTGGTAAACCATACAGGCATGTTTTAATGTTTGTAACAAGTATGGGCAGGCTTCAAGTAGCTCAGCCAATCAGCATTTATAAGGTGTCTGTTAAAAATGATTGGATAATTATAATCTGTCATGTGATGTGACCATAGACAATATTTTTATTTGGGACTATTCGTCTTTGGATGCAAACGAGGCTACACATTCAATTCAAAAGTCATTTTACCTTCTCTTTACCACCACGTCCAGCACATTGTCTAAGCTATCTAAATTAAGCCCAAAATAAAACAAAGCTACACTCACCTACCCTACTTCACTATCTGTTACACTGTGCTTAATTTCACGAGCCCGCGATCACTGTCTTGTTTCAAAGTATCTCCATGATTCGATGTATCAGGGATCAGCGGTTTCTTCTGTTCAGCTGTGTCATTATTTTCAACACTTGTGTTAGTTGGAGCTGGATACATGGTCTGTGATATTGGAGCAGGCATAGCAGGCTAGTGGAAAAGAAGGATATTTACTGCATTTATACTAGATTGTGGTAACCCGTACATTTTTTAATAACCTGCAAACCTGGCAGTATTACTATTAGCAGGCAGGAGAGAATGGTGGCAGGAGAGAATACCTTTTAAAGGATTGTCCTTCTAAGCATATAGAAACCATCCAACTAGCTAGATATTTTCCTAATAGTTCAATGTCTTATCTAGTTTGTAGATTATAGAAAGATCTAGGTGAACTACACAGCATGTTTGTCTGAGTAAAATAAACTACAATCATGATAGTTCACATATACTGTATTCTGTCTGTTTGAGCCGTTTATCAAATGAACTATATTTTCTTTCCTCAAATTCGTCCACAAGGATCAGCCGTCTGTAGTTTAAATACAGCCATAATTACCGAGTGCTTGCAAACTACCCAGCTTTTGTAATGAATAAATTATTTCCTTACCTGTTGGTTTGTAGCGACTGAACCATATTGTCCACGTTCTGCCGAGTCACTGGGGTCAGGAACAATAAAACCACGAAGATCTAATAAACTTTACATACAGAAATTTATTACAATTCATTTAATAGTAAATATGCACAGTGAAAGTATAAAATCAATCAGAAAGTTACATTCAGTGACGGAAATTCACTTTTTCTGGTGGGGAGGGGGACAAAGCCTAAATTTCCGACAAGCCCCCCCATTTGCACTCGAAAAGGCTGTTTTCAGCCCTCTTTTAGGTCAAAATTTCTGAAAATTCGTCATTTTTCGTGAAGGTGGCGGTCGTGCCGCACCAAGATGTCTGCCACTGGTTGCATTGCATCTACCACCTGATGATTTTACTTGTCAAGGGGAGAGTGGTGGCACTCGATGGGTTAACCAGATTATCTTGCCTACTAATAGCAACATGGTGGCACAATCACATGCTCCCAAGCACGCTGCACAAACTTCAACAAATACTCCATCAAAAACTCACAAGAAACCAGTTCAGGAGAAACCAAAGAAAGTCATAAATGTTAATACATGTGTCTAGTTAACCCCCATTAACTATACTATATTCCAATTAATGCACCCCACCTAAATATGTTTACATTTAATTGAATCCTGTACCTTGGGCGGAGTGGAGCACATAAAACATCAACACAATTTGCCCACACTGATCCCTTGCTGTAAGGATTATAGTTGTTTTGACCTCTTCTTGATGAGAATGTTCCTTTGATCTGAAAAATACATTTTAGAATACTGTATATTATGTGATCTTATGTACAAAAATAAATTGCACAAGCTATGATCATACATTTTTTGAGTCACATGTCATATGTGGATAGTTTTGTACAATGGTAATTCTGACCCAAACTACACAGTAGGTTTTTAAAGTTGCTTACATCTTCGTTTGTGGTCTGGTTTGAGGCAACAAGATAACTATGAAATCCAGTCAGACCAAGAACTGACCAAATTGAAAAGAAACAAACAATTGCTTCTAATATAGTGAACAAAGTCAAGGACAAACTTCATCAAAAGGGGCAGCTTTCCAGCTCAAAAACATGACAAGTATTCAGAGCCTGAAATAATGTTCAAAATTTGTATGGGAAAATGTCCCCCAATTGGAAACTTTTGAATTTGGTCCATTTTGATGTCATGCCTTTGTTGGGTATAAATAATAAATAACACTTTATGCCAAACACTACATTTAATGTTCTTTGTGGGACTATCAGGGTTCATAGTCTCCTAGACCAAAACATTTCAAAGACTTTCAAAGATTTTTTCTGCCTATTTTCAAAGACTTTGAGAGCAATCAGCTGTCGAAAAATTGTGAGTGTAAGCACCATTTTTACATAGTAATTAGTCCAGTCAAATCAAATCCTAAAATGCACCTTTTCGTCGATATTTGCAAAAATTTTGCTTCAATCATTTTATTAGCTAGGAAATCGTATAATCAAATACTCACTGAAGAATTTAAAGACTTTCTTCGCTTTTTCACACAATTCAGAGACTTTTCAGAGACTTTTCAAAGACCTTAAAGACCTGCATTCAAATTTAAAGACTTTCAAGGATTTCAAAGACCGCTACAAACCCTAGCTCATTTTAATAAAACAATTTCCTACAGACAAATCAGATATTGCCATTTCCAAATTGTTCATTTCACAACGTTAGGAATGTAGTCATATTCCTGAATGCCTGAAGGATAATATGAAATGGCACCAATATCAAATATAACTTATTCTATTACAGTTGATTTCACGAAACTTTGGCCACGCCAATTGACAGGTTGGTTGGGAATTTGGGAACTATAAACACAAGATCATCAAGTTGATTGGAAACCGGCCAATCAAATTTGGAAGTTTCGCATCAAATTATCGAAATTCGTTATGAAATTCCGAACCAAATTCGCAAGCAAGTTCGCAAATTGCAAACGATTTTGTATGTAGTTGTTGTACCCGAACAGATATTGTTAGGTAGCATCTGGAGGACACTCTAAGGATTTGTGACATCAGTGCAAAGGGTCTATTATGATATTATTTATTATTAAATGAATAAGTTTAATACAATAAGTTTAGTTTTTAAAATTTACCGTCAAAATCGTTTGCAATTTGCGAACTTGCTTGCGAACTTGGTTCGGAATTTCATAACGAATTTCAATAATTTGATGCAAAACTTCCAAATTTGATTGGCCGGTTTCCAATCAACTTGATGATCTCGTGTTTATAGTTCCCAAATTCCCAACCAACCTCGCAACTGGCGCAGCCAAAGTTTTGTGAAATTAACTGTAATTAAATGGACTGAAAGGATATCTAGCTGGAGACTCTTTGACTGCATCAACAAAACTGCCTTTGTCCTCAGATACTACAGAAAGAATTAGAAAACAATAAACAACAAGAACACAACAAACAACAATTAGAACACAACTACCAAACGATAATTCGAAAGAAAAATTTTAGAAAACAGTTACTTACACAAGACTAAGTGTAGGATGACAAATGCAAATATATAAACACAATAAATTGATAAAGAAACTAAGAACAAGTAGAAATATCTATAATTTCTTTGGCCAACACAGTTACCAACCTACAAAACAAAACACCAAAATATAAAATACTCATAATAAAATGAGATGATTGTATATATCAAAGTTAGGAGTAAAAACCTACCCAAGGACAGTGGTGGTCAAATCGATCTAAAATAAAATATTCATATGTACAATTAGTAAATACACATGATCAATACAAACTTAAATAACTGACCAAGACTTACCTACACAATTATCACACATACTACAGTGAGAAGCCCGTGGTGGCCGGAATATCTTACACGTAAAGCAATACTTTAGTTTGACAGATTGTCCATTCACTGTTATATCTCGCGTCCTCGCCGGAGGTCGAAACCCTTGGGATTGACTCGTTTCTAGAGCTAGAATTTAAACACAAGTATTTATATATATTAGTAAAACTAAAACCAAACTATTAATCCTTACCCATAACCCAGGGGTGGAAAAAGTATCGGAACCTGGGAATCTAGTTCCCAGAAATTTTTTTTGAGTTGAGAGTTTGCAGAAAATTTTCCAGAAAATATTTCAACATTTTGAGATAACTCTGTTTACTCAACTTACAAGTTACAACTATTCTACTTTATTTACACTGTACACGCTAACATTAGCAACCTTTTAAATATTTGACAGAAATTAATTCTTTTACCCACCCGTGCCATCACAATGAGGTAAAATGGTGAATATATGCTCTGCAAAGTCTCCAATAAAATGCAAATTAAATAGTAAACAAATAAAAGTGATGGAATAAATAAGACGATAGGACACTTAGTTAAGCGTTAGATCCTTACTAGTTGGTCATAACTCATAACTGACGGTACATAACAGACAACTATTGCGATGTACGAGCATACGATTACTAAAGTACAAATAATACAATAATTATGCATTTGTTTTCTTATTTTTGTAATTGTAACATTGCAATTTATACAGAAAATTTCTAGCCTTCGACCCAGGTTCCCAGAAAGAAAAAAAAAATTGCCACCCCTGCCATAACCTATGCATGGCAATACCCTAGTATACATACATGAACTTGTGGTTAGAGCTCGACAACTGGCCTCTGAAGTTCAGTTAGTTAGAGCGCTGCACTGGAATTGCACAGCTACAGGTTCGATTCCTGCGAGGGACCTAAAAAGTTGCATTTTTCCAGGCCTTAAAATATCTTTTACAGGGCCGTCTGACAAAATGTCCGATGACGTTGAGTTTGGGTCGGACATATGTCCGATGACCTTCAGTTCAGTTTTGACTTCGAATAAGTCTGAATGACACGTCAAATGAATATCAGCACAATGTATTAAATCTGTACGGTAAATGTTGTAAAGATATTAAATAATTCGTTTCTTTCATACTTATTTCCAAGCCAAAATTAACTTGCTTTCCAGAACAGCAGTATTAAAAAAAGACTTCGACAACTTAAGCCCGTTTTCCACTTCATTATTTCGCTCGCCACCCCACGCTCGACTACGCTAAAACAACATTTCCAGTTCACCTTCTATACAATAGTACTCTGGTTTTCCATTTAATATACAAGCCTCTAGTCCTGGGCTAGGGTACATTTTGATTTACGATGGACAAAGCTACATTTCGGTTGGACACCAATTCACTCGGGTCGGACAAACAATAAACCTCAGTTTCACTTAGGTCGGACAGAATGTCCGGTGGTTTCCTCTCTACGTTGGACAATTTCACGAATGGGTCGGACAATTTCCGTGACCGACCGATATTTTAAGGCCTGTTTTTCGCAGCTGTTCCTGGTTAGGTCTAATAAATGTATATAAATTTCCCCTCAACAGTAACTACTGTGCAACATCATAAATATTTACCAATGTGTTTTTCAATATAAGCAGCTTCATCAAGACTTGCTCTTGGGACAATCCCAGGATCAATAAATGCAGCTCTTGCAAGAGCACCAAGTGAAAATAAAAAGAACCATATTGCGATGAAAGGGACAACAGGAGATACATGGTCATATAAATATGGACAACTACAAAATAAATTAAACAAGTTTTCAAGATCTGTTCATATAGACTGAACTATCTAAAAGATATCTCACATGCGGGGGTTCAGTGACGGTAGTATTCTGCAATAAGCTGCCGTGGTTTGTGTCTGAACTATTTGAAAAAGAAATCTCAAACATGGGAGCACAATGCAGGTCTGGAATTTTAACTCGGCACAGTATGACAATTGCCATTCTTTGAGAAAAAAATGCTGTGGATCACTGTGGACAACTACAGCAATTTCTACCACAACCTGTCACCCATAGTGCACATGAAATATTACACAAAAGCAAAATTGGCAAAAATTGCTGTAGAGAGCCACTGCGCTCTATGGCATCTTTGACATCTAGTATGTAGAGTTTTCGGGAAATTCCTGGCCTGAGGTCGTACAAAGTCTGGATAGCAACTTTTTCAACCCCTATATCTACCGGATATTAGAATGTTAGGGTTTGTAATCCAAGTGGTTATATGGGCAATTTCACGTTGCGGACATTACATTCACAGAAAAACAATTAATACAAAACATGCTCTGTTTCCTGTTTGCAACAGTTTCAGATCTGGGAACTTTGTCATAGAAAACCTTAAGGGGACCTCTTAAGATTTCATAAAATAAAACAAAATTCCCTCGTAATCAATTCTTGCAATAAAAAGTCAAAGTACTGTTGCGGACCCCCCCAGTTTGTTGGGCAAACAAAGCCAGTCGGGCAATATTCGCTTCACACTTGGGCAATATTGGCTTATTATAAAAATAAATGGGACAAATTCTGTCAATTTTGTGGGGAATTCTGTCAATTTTGTGGGAAATATGCTATCTATCTAATAGGAATTCTTCGTAATCACTAGTCCCCCCCCCATCGACAACAATTTTGGAAAGTTTCTCCGGAAATTTTTTTAACAACGCGGGCACAATCTGAAAAAGTCAGGCAAATTTCTTTCCTCCCCCCTAATTTTTTCCTTCCTGTATGCCCATGTGTATACCACCATAAATCCTGGGATGAAATCATGGTCACATATATTACAGTATATAATCTTCTGTTGACAATAATATCTTTCAAAAGTGCAATATTTGTTGCGCATAGACTCAGGCAATGACTCGGGTTGTGCAGCAAATAAAGTGTCATGTTTGCAGACCATTCTATTTGACAGTTTTGCATTTACTATATTTGGTGGGGATAATTAACACCCCTGGGTTTAGTGGAAGATGATCAAAACAAACATGAATTAAAACATGATTTTGCTCTTAACAACATATGCCTTACAAAACTGATGATACAACGGCAGTATACGGTTGTGGCATTATATGTAACTTGGAAACTTTCCATGATGAATTGTGTCACTGTGATTGTGTATACAGCACGGAGTGATTATAGTTAAAAGTAAGGGTCCCATAGTCCTTTTAATGTTCTATTTTTAAGTCATCAAGCTTAAAATAACTATAGAATTCAAGCAAGACAATTACATAAGCATCTAATTCTCCAATTTCAAAAATGTAATGTCTGCAACGTAATGTCCGCAACACATTATTCAAGACATGTTAATACTTTTTATTGTCTTTTTCCAGTCTAAAATAATGTAATACCATTTTAAAAAAGCAGCACAAATATAATGTCAAAAGAGCTAGACGTTTGGCTGAAAAATAAATTGAATTGTTTTTTTGTTGCGGACATTACATTTCTCTTACCCAAACTTCGATGCACCATAAATCACAGCAACACTGGATATTGTCTGATCTAACATTGTCATCATGATATGTGAACCTTAGACTGTGTTTGTTAAGAAATATAACTTATTTCAAAGTTAAAGTGACTGAGTTATAATTATTTTAAATAAACACACTTTATCCACAGAACAATAGCAACAAACAAGTGCAGATTCGACGATTTGCCGCAGAGTGGGCATGGGCCAAAATTCAAAAATCGTTTTGATTTATGATAATCCAATGTGTTAACTATGGAAACATGTGGTTAGCACCACATAATGTTGCATTTTGCAATTTTGCCATTTTCAATGTCTCATGTGAAATTGACCATATACATTTTAATACCTGACCAGGAACGACTGCGAAAAATGCAGCACAAGGTCCTCTGGTATGAATTGAACCTACAGCCCTGCGATTTCGGTCCTTGTGCTGCATTTTTCGCAGTCGTTCCTGGTCAGGTCTTAAAATGTATATAACCACTTGGATCACAAACCCTAACATTCTAATATTAATTCCACCAAGTGAAGTGCAAGAAACCACGTTATTCATATCTACCGAATAGCAACTTTTGCAACCTTTCTAAAATTGTTTGTTGACTGGAGCAACCTAAACTTTAGGTGGATAGCACTATCCGGCCTTTGTACAACCGGCCGGCAGCCCCTGCAAGATGAGTAGCCTTCTACAATAACCTGTCTGGTTTGTGTCAAACATCAAAGTGTTTTTAATCTTTTCAGGTAGTTTAGACATCAACCAGGGCAGCTTATTGTCAAAGTGTTGTTTATATGTAATTCGTTTAATTTAAAATTGGAAAAAACCTTCAACAAACAATTTTGCATATTAATGAGGCAAGATATGAGCCCTACCCACTATTGCTGGATACAGTGAAATCTGATCAAATTTCCTTCATTTTTTATGAATATAAACTGTCAAAACTTTAGTCTGCTAGTACTGTAAGTTTCCTAACATCACTTGGGCACATTTATGGATAGTATTCGCAAAAAAAAATCTCAAATTTCACTCATTAATTTAAAGGAAAGTATATATACACAAAAATTTATATTTAAAATGAAACACAGTCAATTTCATTTCACATTATCAACACAATAAAAACATAACTATTAAACACCTTCCCGTAAACAGAAAATAAAAGCACTGCTGATGTCGATTAAAACAAAATGCACGAGGTTTACTTACTCAAACGCGAAGAATAAAGCACTCGTAGACAGTATTAAAACAGCAGTAAATATACACACTCCATTAGCCTTGGCCATAATAACTCTCCCGTTCAAATAAAACTTGTTTCTGCCAGGGAAATTTTCCCATTTTCTTTTAGGCGACATCTTTTTAATCTCTTCGTACTTGTGAGTCATAAGTCCACCGACATGACACCCTATATACTGTATCAAAAATTTACATACAAAAGCTCGTAATATTATATTTTCAACAACAAATTTGGAGCCATTCTCTTTACAAGTCACCGCCTCTTTTTACACTCGTATAGACGTTCAATATCTCTGACTTTATTTTGACGTCGGAAAAGCTGCCTCGAGTCACGAGAAATTTGTTAAAAATGAAGAAAAATGAACTAAAACAAACAATTTCTTGCTCAAAAACGCAGATGGCCAACAGATCAGAGCAAGATTACGGGGTGACTACCCATGCATTTCAGGTCCCAGGCCATGACGTCATATTCTTGAACTCAGTGGGTCCACTCAGATATTTCGGTTAGAAATTTCATGTGAAAAAGTATGGCTTTTTAAAACCAGACCGCAAATTCAATGTTTTCAAATTTAACCATTGCGAAATGGACCCATTGAAAAAACAGGGGCAAAAATTGTTATGGAAAGAAGCAAGTATCAAATCACTCTCGTTTATATAGAGACCAGCGGCGAATTTCAAACCTGTTCGCAGGTTTTACAAAATGGCAATGCTGAAAGGAGTGCGCAATGTTTTCAATATTTCTCCACGTTTTGCTGCGGTTTATTTCAAAAATGTTGTACGTGGTTTAAGCTCAGAACCTCCACTAACCAGTGAGCAGTACCCTGACCTGAAACGTGGTCCCTACAGCGAGGTAACCAATGATGATTTAGCAAAATTTTCTTCAATTCTTGACCCACATAGGGTAGTACAAGACCCAGAGGAAATTGCACCTCGGAATATGGACTGGATGAAAAGTCTACGTGGAACAAGCAACGTTTTGTTGAAGCCAAAAACTACCCAAGAAATTTCCGAGATTTTGGCATATTGTAATTCCAGGAAAATTGCAGTGGTTCCACAAAGTGGAAACACTGGTTTGGTTGGGGGTAGTATGCCAGTCTTTGACGAAGTGATTTTGTCGTTAGGATTAATGGATAATATTATCAGCATCGATGATATTTCTGGGATTTTGGTTTGCCAAGCCGGTTGCATCTTGGAAAAGTTGGATCAGTTCCTGTCAGAGAGAGGGTTCATGATGCCATTAGATTTAGGCGCAAAAGGAAGCTGCATGATTGGTGGAAATATTGCTACAAATGCTGGAGGTCTGAGGCTCCTACGATATGGTTCCCTTCATGGAACTGTGTTGGGGCTAGAAGCAGTTCTTCCCAATGGACAGATAATCGATACATTATCTACATGTCGTAAGGACAACACTGGATACCACCTTAAACATATGTTTATAGGATCTGAAGGTACATTGGGGGTTATAACTGCAGCATCTATAATGGTCCCCTACTTACCCCGGTCTATCAATGTAGCATTGTTGGGATGTCAAAGTTTTGAAGATCTTCAACGTATTTTCAAAGCAGCAAAGTCGATGTTAGGTGAAGTTTTATCTGCATTTGAAATGATGGACTACGATAGTGTGAAGGCAAGTGAATTCATTGGTCTGCAAAACCCTATTGGAGAAAATAACTTTTATGCATTGATTGAGACATCGGGTTCGGATGCAGCTCACGATGAAGAGAAACTGACAGCATTAATGGAATGGTTGATGAATGAAGATTTGGTACAAGACGGTACTATTGCAACAGATAAACAAAAGATGACCAATATCTGGGCTGTTCGTGAGAATATTGCAGCTGGCCTGTTGGAAATTGGTTATGTGTACAAATACGATGTCTCAATACCTGTACCAAGATTATACGAGATTGTGGAAGACCTTCGGAATAAGATTGGTGACAAGGTTATAACAATTGTCGGCTATGGTCACATTGGTGATGGTAACCTACACTTGAACATTGTCACTGAAGAACATGACCCTAAAGTACACCAACTGTTGGAACCTTACATCTTTGAATGGGTTCGAGATTGTGAAGGAAGTATCAGTGCAGAGCATGGGATTGGATTTAAAAAGACAAAATATTTACATTATTCAAAGTCAATGGAATGCATCAATATTATGAAAGATTTGAAAAAGATGTTTGATCCAAATGGTATACTGAATCCATATAAAGTGCTTCCTAATAAGTAACTGTAACCTGTTGAACAATGTAAAACAGAAGTACATGAAGTAGTAATTGGTTTTAAATCTTGTGATTGTGGGTTTTGAATATGGGTAGATTTAATTAATAATTAATACATGAACAAATTAAAAATGTAACTGTTAATCAGTCCAATTAAATAGATTTTTTTAAAACACCTCATTGCAGACTAAATTCATTTAATTAAGGACTTGGCAGTTCAATCTCAACATATCAAAGGCAAAACAAAATATTCCAAATATTACGAGACAATAAAGCCAAGAAATCGTAACTACGTCATGCTTCTCTTTCTAAGGACAACGATTTAATCCGAGTCAGAAAAGTTGTCAAACACTGGCGATGATGTTGACAAACGTTTTTGCATGAGTTGAGGGTCTTCAGGACCTTTCAAACAAAAAAATAAGAAAAAACATTAACAAAATGAACAAATCACAGCTTCATATAAATCTTAGACAAAACGAATTTTGGCAACACTGTTCCTTCTTATACGTATTTCTGCATGAACTGCAGAAAGCTGAAGTATACCGCCGGGCTTGCTGTAATGTAAGAACGGACAAGTGTTTCTGAAAGGAATGAAACGCAAATGTCCTGAAAAAAACTAGTTCAAAACAGGGTCTTACCCGCAAGAGTGAAAGTAGAGCCAGCACGTGTCGTACGACTGGCTACAATCCTGCTAGACTCCTTCACCACGCCTTCATCGGAGCTGACAGGATTACCATCTTTCAAAATTTCTGAGGTTTCACCTCCTTCATTCTGTAAACTTCGCTGTCCAACCACAGTACTGCCAATATTGCTAGCATATTCATGCGATACCTTGTCAGGTATAGAACTATTTCTCGGCTGAACATTACCAGGAAACACATTGCCTGTTCTACTAGATCTTTCTTGTGACATCTGACCAGATAAGGATTGCTGTTGAGCCACTGCCCTACCACGAACGGAGATACTGCTGCCATCTTGTGTTGTATGACCAGCTGAAATACTGCTCCCATATTGAACCAATGTTGACACATTCGAAATGCTGGGATTGCTTTCATCTGTAATGGACGGTTGTTGAACTGAAGACATGCTTGCCATGTCATCAACATTACTAAAGGCTGAAGCTGGCACACTGCTTTTTTCGTTAGTTAAAGAACGAAATGAAAAGAGATTTTTTGCAGAATGCTTTACGAAAGAGAACGCACTTTTTCCTTTTTGTATTGATTTACCTGAAAAGATAAATAATTACAATTGGTTACTTGCGTAGGGGTTAGTGTGGATTTCATTGAGCGCTATCGTACATTCGAGCGAGAAAGTATTGCCAATTACAGCTCTGTGGGTGACCACCATCTGCTTTCTAAAACACATCAACAACATTCGTACTTTTCATGGCAGGAACACTTTGAATATCATCGACAGACGTCAAAATAGGGTCTTCAAAGAGCTGTGTTGTCTCCGCCACTCTATCAGGCAGTTCCTTCTTTTTACCACTGGTAAAAAAGTTAGTTTTCTTCCAAATGAGCTTCATGTGATCATCAGCTTGAGGGTAGATATAACGATGTATCATCCACAACCAGGTCACAAGAAGGGTAAAACTGGTCAGAGATAGACCCTTAGTACGAGTTAAAATTCATAACAGGTTACTTATAACAGCCAATTCTTTGTTATTCCAATCCAACATTGAAAGTCTACTCTTACTCTAACATCATCTGTGACTCTAATCTAAACCTAACTCAACTCTAATACGAACCTCAATCCAATGAACAAAACCACGGATACTTCCGCTCGCCCGAAACATAAAATAGAGGGGTGGATCTAGCCTCATCTACAAGGAGGGGTGCAGGTTTTCCATGGGGTGGTGAATGAGAGAGCCTTACTCCCAAGACCCAACATTACCATTGTTTGAGATTGCCGAATCTGCATGTTCGCCGTTCTGTTACGTTTATTTTACCTTTTGCTTATGAAGTTTTTATATCGGCTTTTTATCACGTATGCGTGACTGAATAGTTGCTGTAGCACAGTACAGTACATGTTTGCATATTTAACCATGATACTTGACTAAAGCATTCTGAGTGTTTTCTCGCGAGCTTACAAAACACCGCTAGGTGAGGGGCTAGACACCACTAGGTGGGGTGTGCACCCCCTGAACCCCCACGGTAGATTCGGCCCTGATAAAACAACTATCCCTCAATCGACCCTAACACAAAGCCTACTCCCCAACCTTAAACTCTTCGGGAATGGAAAGTCAGATGTATTCATAGGGTAAAGGATACGGCAATCATGAAATGTTTTTGTTGTTTATAAGGCAGTAACGGTTTCTTTCTTGTTCTAACATTACACCAGTTGTAAACAAACTTTGGATCACCAAGAGGAACCTTTGATGTATCTGTTTTCCAACCATCATCACAGACACACATATCACCCGCACGTTTACCATGATTACATCGTACTGGGATCTTGAAATATTGAGAAATAAACTTTTATAGTTTGCTACTGCATGGTAATGGAAATTGCTAGATAGTATACTTCAAAATAAGGTTTTCGTTTTTATAACGTAGAAAAAAACATCATAACGCAAAACTAAACCCTAACCCTAATACTAACCTTAACCTTAACCCTAACCCCAACCTAACCTTATTTAAGAAATTGATATAAGAACGGAAACCTTATTTTGAAGTATACTATCTAGCAATTTCCGCATTGTAATAGCCATGCTGGCCAGTCGACCACAACAATGCATTTTGATGAGAGAAGCATGAAACTTTGCGAGGTAGTACAATGAAAGAAATTATTAAGTGGTAAAGGAAAATGAAAATTGTACGGCCAAAAAACTCAAACACGAGGATTATACTACTTTCAAACGAGAGGAATTTGGAACCTTTTAATGAGTAATGGAAATACATCCGGTTCCTGGTTTGTGATGTAGTTTGCGGATAAAGGAAAACCCCGCACAGCCATTTGGCTTGCCTGATTGGCCTAATGATCGTATTTATCCGCAAACTACGTCACAAAGCAGACTTTTTAAAAAGGTTTATTGTTTACTATAAAAAGTCTATTGTTTACTCTGCTTGAATTGTTCCAGTTTCATCGTTCCCATGTGCACTCGAAAGACGAAATCATACAAATTTGAACACGGTTCCTAATCCATCCTGCCCTTGTGTAAATAGCCGCGAACATTACTTACGGAATCAGAAGGACCAAGATTCTTAAACTTTGCTCTCTCTGATGCCTCCATGTGACTTTCTACATTATCTTTCAAATCTCGTTCTTCTTCTTTCGTCAGTTGTTTCTGAATCAAACTTTTACACTTATTATGATCTTTATCAAACGCCTGCAAGAATAAACCAAAACTAAGAAGATTCTTTCTCTAATAACCTCTTAATTGATTTTTAATTTACTCATTATACCGTTGTAGGTAGGCCGTCATCATCACTGCTGGTGTAACATTCATGGACAGGTTCGCAAAGTTTCGTCTCTTTCCTGAAGAAATTTCTTCTACCATTGTATTTTTGAACGCAGTTTACAGGCTTACAGTTACGTCGAGGGTCCTAGGAATGACAGATAGTTCAGGTAGATACGATGACTGACTTACACGGTGATCACAATTAGCCATTTCCCAAAGTCCTGGGCTTAATCTAAATTAAACGTTTAATGTAAAAAGGAGATATTTCATTTTTGGTCTTGTAAAAAGTTGATATTTGATAGTAGATACTTCTACTCTTTCACATATTTGACGCCTGTCTCCATATATTTTGTCCCTCCAAACGATTCCAGAATGCATGCACTGTGATCTCTTTTGAGAAAAGGCTAATTATTTAACACTACAGAACACAGTCAGTACCAGATCCATCGTATCACACACTTTCATTTTCTTCTCATCACCGGCAATTGTTTCTAAAATATCAAACGTAAAATTATTTAAAATACGTAGTACTGAACTTAACAGCATAAAATGCGCGCCATTATCAGGCAGACCAGGGGACGTGTACCCGCACAAGAATACTTGCATTCTGCACACTACTTGTCTATTACAGTGCGCTGTATTTTGCTACGGCGCGCAATTTTCTTTGTAAGGGAGCGCTACATGTTGGTTTCCATTGCAACTACGCAGAGCACTGAAAACTAAGAATATAGACTTACCGTAAATAAGATAAAAATAATATCTTACTGTAGAGAGATCCAAGCCACGAATCTTGTTCTTGCGATTGATACGTCGTGTTAAAACGAATAGTATGTGCAATTTTGTTCTTACTTTGCCACAGATGAAATATGCACTGGCCAACTCTATCCAGCGGATACTAAATATATTTGAAATTGTTGCCACAACAAAATTTGTTTTAAATGCGGCTAGGCTACAGGAAAACAATGCTTCCTTGGTTGCCTACCTTCGGGGGACATGGCTAGGAAATAATGTTTCTGCACTAACAGTCTAACTATAATATACATGAAAAAATTTCTCAATTCTGACTGGCTATATAAGAGCAGGCATTTTTTTCGAAATACAGTGCCAAAAAATGAAATAGTGTCAGTACAAAAGTAACACATTGCAAATTTCTTAATTTTTCAAATTTCTTAATTTATATTTTTCAAATTTCTTAATTTTCTTAATTTCTTAAATGTGACTTACGCATGTGACTGCATAATTTTTTCATGTATATTAATAAGTGATAGTATGGTTTCTCGTGGAATTTGAAAAAAACATACGCTCGTGAAAGACTTCAAATTGATAGTCTTTGAAAAACTCACTTGTGCATTTTTTTTTTCCAAATTGCACTCGGAACCATACTATTACTACCCTGGGTTCCAGAGCCTTCAGAACGTTTCTCAGCTAGGGTTTCTGTGCAATAAACTCAAGACCTTTAAAAACCTGAAAACCTCTGGCACCCAGGGTATACTATTATCTATACTAACAACATCTCCCATAAATTTGCCATTTTTCTATACAAATATTGGTACCTACCAGATTTGTGAAAAGATATGTAATATTTGCTGTTTTTGATGGCTCCAATGTAACTGGCATTCCACCATGAAGGTCCATGGACTAGTAAAAAAACAAGAATGTCAAACTGAAGCTTGTGGCGAAGACGTCTGAAAAACAGAGAGAAAATAAAGACAAACATGCCTCGCAGTCGTATTTTGAGCCACTTCCAGGATGGACCCAACAACATTTTGTGTTTTTGGAATAAATCTTTTTTGAACTTATGCCAGAATTAGCAACCGTCATATCTGTAAAAAAATATTTTTTTGAGTTTCAATAACAAACAAAATTGTGAATTAAGCAAGAACTTACAAAATACAACTGCAATTTCGCCTGGTTTCACCTTTGAATGTCCGGATTTCTATACAAAAATTAAGCAGGAAACAAGTTTTATATTAAGAAGACAAGATGTGTGAAAATGAAATCTATCTTACCTCTACATAAAAGTTGTCAAATTCAATCGAAATTCCACAGGAAATTATGCAAAAATGCAAGAAAACGTTGAAAATTATAACATGAGATTTCATTTCTGTATTTTTATACACATAAAACTTCGTTTTTTCAGGGATATTTTTTCAAGAACTCATAATTTCAACACGCCATATTTGTTTTTCAAACTTTTCGCGCCAAAAGGAAGGGTATTTTCTCCGTACGGAATAAATACCTTAACTACGATTTGTGTACCTCGGAACTATTAACACTGAGCTAAATAATATACTGAACTGTTTGCTGGCTTTAGCACTAACAGACTGATCATGTGTCATATTGTGTCATAATATAGTGGTTAGAGATAGGTGATTAGGCTAAAGCCTGGTTCACATATATGCCTGCGACGTGCCTGCGACGTACGGGTAGAACGTACGGGCGACGATGCCGGTGGTAGCTTAAAACGTGAATTATGTGAATATTTGGTCACCGATTGCCTCCAGTGCCACAGTTACATCGGCGGTAGGCCGGGAAAGTTGACTTGAGTTCAACTTTGCCGGTATTTCGGCGGCAAGTAGAGGCATAATGATACAGTCGCAGGCATGCCGCAGGCATATGTGAACCCTGCAGGCTTAATATGATTCCAACAACTTTGAACAATTCCTTGAAAACAACTTGGTGAGTAAAAAATTATTTATTTTAGATGCCCGCTGTACAGTACAGTTTTAATCCTTAATACTACTTCTTTTATTCAGTTAAAATAATTTCTGTTCCATTGGTGAGGCAGTTCTTGTCATCTGAATAAACTGATATCAGCAGTTTCTTGTGGTTGTCGCTTACCAAACAAAGAGCTGAACAGTTCGTTTCTAAATAAAATTATAAAAATACGGAGCATACAATGAAACTAAAGAGTGATTTTCCATATTATCCCGCGTTGGAGAGATTAGTATTTGGGTATAAAGGGTTAAGAATGTGTTTCAGTTAGGTTTGCTAATACGAAAGTTGTGACATACTGACATTGCTTGTAAATTTCGACAAACCTCGATGAATCCGCCATTGTTCCTCTGTTTTGTGGTGCCATGAAACTGACCAATTTCGAGTGAACATCATATCTAGAAGAAAGGTTTCGTAATAATTCATGAGCAAAACACAAAGGAAACCAGCACCGTTCGTCTTCATACGGCGGTAATAAACATTCTATATTTAAAGGCCCGTTTACACTTGCAATGGACCATTTGCATTATAGACTAAATTTTGATCTAAACAAGTCTAGACAAAAATTTCATCACAGCTTGAAAGAGCATCACAAAATTAGTAATATTCCAAAGTTTCGTTGCGAAATGTTGTAAAATGCGGATAATATAGCCTGGCGAAGTTTGCCATTTTTCAGTCATTTTGTATTACAAACGGGGAATTGACAGCCCCGAAGGGTATTGGGCTGTCAATTTCCCCCGCGTAATGCAAAATGACTGAAAAACGGCAAACTTCGCATGGCTATATTATCCGCATTTTACAACATTTCGCAACGAAACTTTGGAATATTACTAATTTTGTGATGCTCTTTCAAGCTGTGATGAAATTTTTGTCTAGACTTGTTTAGATCAAAATTTAGTCTATAATGCAAATGGTCCATTTGTGCTGCGATTTCTACTAACATTTTCTTCTTCCACTCGTTCACATCCCATCAGAAGAAAATCGCACCTAAAATTTGCGCGGCCAAATGTGCGCAACTTGCGCGTTTCAATACTGATTCGTTTGAGATATCATCATACACTCGTCTATTATAGTAATTTGACACCACTTCAGAGCGTTTTAAAATACCTCAACCGCCTTCCTTTACTGGCTTTTGTATCAACTTTTCTTTTCACTTTATTCCTTAACCGCTGGATCTCAAGCCACTGCCTGCAAGTGCAAAAAAATGGGAAAAGTGCAGATAAACATTTCCTTTAGTCTGACCATGGATCATAAAAAAATACTTTTTTAACTATACACTTTTAAAAAAAAAACTGTAATTAATTTTACAGTAAAAAGTACTGGCAACTGGGACGCCAGAGAATGTACTGTAATTTCACAGAGACTGTTTTTAACTGTCTTAAGTCTTTATTAATATATCGGATCGTAAAAAGGCTGTAACAGATTAACTTCATTTCTTTTCAAACACGGTCTTATTGCACTGTGATTTGCAATTGCAGTATACTTACGCAATTACAGTATACTTACTGTAAAAAAAACCAGTAAATTATTCGGCAAAAACAGATATTTTTTAACTATATCCCTGGTCTAATAAAACATTTTATTGAATTAAGTACAAGCTGAATGCATATATTTACCTTCCCATAGCGATCGGATCACTAGGATCTACATTTGATTTTCTTTCAATAAATTCTCTCAAAAGCTGTAGTAGACAAAACCGAGTTTTAGCTCGTGACTTAAATCAAATGAGCAAATAAAAATTTAGCCTTCTTTATCTTTACAACTACGAAGAAGCTGTAGAACTAGGAGAAAAAACAGATGAATACCTGATGGTAAAAATCATCATCATCAAATATTTCAGCATCATAGTCTTTTAAATGAACATCGCGTTGTTCCTGGAGATAAACAGTGGTTTATAATGTCAATAGACCTTTCCCCTTTTGAGTGAAATTTTGATCTAGACAAGTCTGGACAAAAATTTCATCACAGCTTGAAAGAGCATCACAAAATTAGTAATATTCCGAAGTTTCGTTGCGAAATGTTGTAAAATGCGGATAATATAGCCTGGCGAAGTTTGCCGTTTTTCAGTCATATTGTATTACAAATGGGAAATTGATAATCAGATGATCCAACTTCGGAATATTACTAATTTTGTGTTGCTCTTTCAAGCTGTGATGAAATTTTTGTCCAGGCATATCTAGATCAAAATTTCACTCATAAGGGAAAAGGTCTATTGGAACAATGTATCAAGTTTACACTATTATTAAGCTGATAAGATTTTCTAAAGCTTTTACCATCGAATTATTGTTTTCATTAACTTCTGTTTTCCCCAAGACTCGATACGAGCTCCGTTTTAGCTGTGTCCTTTTTATCAACCTGTCTCTGTCACTGAGGATCTGAAAATCAGTATATAATATTTAATGATATTAGAATTATAACAAAATATTCTTGTTCTGCCTTTAATTTGGTTACAACAACAACAACAACAACAACAACAACAACAACAACAACAACAACAACAACAACAACAATGTATTAGCAACTAAACAGAGTGTTACAATACTATACCTGTTTTATTTGATTCAATGTTGATCTGTCAAATGAGTTAAAAGACTGCAAAGAAAAATGGAATGCTTGTGCATAAAGTAAAACATGCTTCAGATGCTTTCAACTTTTCTCAACTAGTCACCATCAGAGAAGCTCACCAAGAATGAAAGATGAATTTCTCACCTTGTTACTGACTTTGCCAGAAGCAAGTCTAGTTTTGTCATTCCATTTCTTGATTGTCGTGTCTCTGAAATGTTCAAATGCTGCATGACGTTTAGTGATGTGTTCAGAGTACTCATCCAAGTGCTGTGAAAAAGAAAATAATGATAATTTGTGTTTTCCTAAGGCAAACCTTAACTCAACCTCAACCCAACCCCAACTCTAATCCTAATCTATGGATGGATTTACTGGGGGGAGGGGGGGGAGGGTGCACCCCTAGTCCCCGCCAGAGGGGGTGCAGGGGGGTCCTATTTTTCATGATAAAGCAAAATGAGATACAGTAATTTGAGTAATAACATGATAAACAAACTGTGAACAACAATTACAATTCAAATACAGTAGTCAAGCAAGACTTTGCAATAGTCAAGCAAGTTGATGGGCGGGCGGTGCACGCGACCAACACAACTTGGCACGAGAGCTGGCAGAACACCCCCTCCCCACCAGATCATGCTGGATCCATCCCTGAATCTTTGTGATGTAAGATTGCTTACCATTGACTGTTTTCTTTTTCTTGAAAGTTTCAAAGAATCTTCACCATCATCTTTTCTCTCACCATTCACCTTGTTGTCTTTTTTGTTACCTCCCTCGTTATCTCCTGCCTCGTTATCCTCATCATCACTGGGTATGTCTTCATCAGAGTCACCTGTTTTACTTTCACTTTCTTTCTTCAGTATTCCAGCAGTGTCTGAGTTTCTTTCATAAAGTGTTTGTTGCAGTATGAGCAAGTTGTGAACAAGGCTTGTCAATAACTGTTGAGCTAAATGTAATTAAAACAAAGCATAATTGCTTGGGAAGAGCAAAATGACAACTGGGAATAAAATGAAATCAAGTGAAAAGATAAATTAGTACAAATTGATTATTAACCCATACTGCAGAGCTTCCCCACTGACGAGTAAAATCGTCTGGCGTTAGACAAGTAAAATCATCTGGCGTTAGACAAGTAAAAAAAATAAGTAGGGCGCACTGGGGCACATTGTGGCTCAATGCATGCCTCGAATTTAGCGGCGGCCACTGGCCGTCGATGCCCTGCCTGTTGGCCACTATGCCCTCGAAATATACTGAAATCCACGGCCAGCAATTTTGTAAATAGTTTTAAAATTCTTTTCTGTATACTTTTCGCACACCCCTCGTGGAAATCAGCTTCGGTTGACGGGGTCAGCGTGTTTAAATAAAGTTTATCTATCTATCTATCTATCTACCCTCAACCCCAGACTACAGTACTTAGGCTTTAGAAAACCAAGTGTATGATTTGTAAAATTGGCAATAAATTTAAAATAGTATTTAAATGCACCTTTCCGTCAGCCAGAATCATGTATTAAAATATCCATAGTGTTTGGCATTTTTTTTAAATATTGTTGCTGTTCTGTAAACTCAAACGAAATTTGAAACTTCAAAATAGCAACTGAATAAAATTTTCAAACTGGTCTTGAATCTTGATGCCCTGTGTACTGGCCTTGATGCCCTGAAAAACTTAGTAACATTCAAGGACAAACCGGCCTTGCCTTTATGTTTCTCAAATTCAAGGCCTGCAATGGGTTAATGGATAACACTGAATTAGTGCAAATTGATTATTAATGGTATGTCAGTACTAGTAAACAGTAATGCTTGGTTTAGTGGTATGTTGCTGTCATGATCAAGTCATGATCAGACTGATCACCAAATCACCAATGTGAAATAATCTGGATCTATAACGACTTTTGCGTGGTGTATGTGATATGATTTGTGTGATATGACCCACTGACATTTCTTGACCCACTGACCATCAAAATGTTCAAACAACAAACCAACTTACTATTATTTAATGGATCTTTAATCTGACCTCCTCCTCTTTCTTTGATATCATCAAACGCATCATGTTGTGGCAATTTATTCACTTCAACCAGCATCTTTTGTAATCTGATCCGATTTTCAAGTAGACTATCCCACAATGCTATTGGTCGAAAAAATTCAAGTATTAAAAGTAAATATTCATTTTGGGTTCATGTGTATCTTGTATTTGTGGGTCTGGTAAACGTTATGAGGCAGCAGGCTTCAGAACTGTTGACACGTAAAAGGGCAAGGAAATGAAACCAACATTATTTTCTCACTCTACATGTTAACCACCATATGTCTACTGCATGATAGTGCTATACCGCCATACTCTTACTCACCAATTTGATGAACCACCGCCTTTCCTTTCTGAACTTCATCTATGTCTGAACGTGAAAACTTCTGCATTTCTTTTTTATCATATTCTTCTCCTTCCTCATATTCTTCTCCTTCCTCATCTTCCTCCCATCCTTCTTGTCTTTCCACATCACTTTCATCCATTTCACTATTTTCTTCTATCTCATTTTCATCCCATCCTACTTCCTGTTCATCCTGTGCTTCCACTTCATCCCATCCTTCCTCTTCTTCCACTTTATCATCTTCCTTTTCTATTCCCTCATCACTGTCTTCACTTGCACTTTCATCACTCCCAGATTCACTAAATTCATAATTTTCATCCAACATGTTCTCCAAGTCTTGCTGTTTCTCATAGTCAGAATGAGATCCACTGCCATCTAAATTATAAAAGATAATAGACAAAATTCATAATTATTCAAACTTCCAAATGTTATATATTGTTTTATTACAGCATGCAGGCAACATAGACAGTCGTACACCTTCTAGGCCAGACTGTATTCCACATATTTTCAAGAATATCCTACAAACTTTTTGTTGAATTAATGTATTTTTATTTTGTTTTTGATGTATTGTGAGGAAACATCACACAATTTAGAACTGTAAATGACTGCCCAGCTATGAATACAATGCAGCCATTCTCAAATGTTCTGCCTTCATTTCCACACAACTGCCATGCACCAATAAAACTTTAGAGTCTGGTCACAGAATAGAGACACACAGAAGGTCGACTCAGCCAAAAAAATGTAACCGCTTCATGTCATGATTTGTGTTCCTAGCTAGTGTGCTTATGAGAGGCTTCACCCCCCTGAACATGTGCCATTTTTGAATATTTTCAGGGGGTCAATGCCTCTCATAAGCACACTGGCTAGGACAGTTACACCAAAATTGTAGGCAAAACCAAGAAATCGACCTTCTGTGTGTCTCTATTTTCTGGTCTGGCTTCTTTGGACAGTTACATACCAAATATTTTGTAGGTCAACAACTGACCTTTAGCATCTCAACCTCTATTACATGTAAATATGGCAATGAAAACATTATTATATTATACTACCATCATCTTGTGATAGCTCTTCATCTTCACTAACATCTCCTCTCAATTTCAACAAATCTTTCCTGGATATAGCCTCCCCTGCATATCTCTTATCTTCATCAGCCAACAATATGGCAGCCTTCTTTCTTAAATTACTTTTATTTAATACTTTATTTTCGCTCTCATCCTCATAGATATCATCTTTACTTATTACTCGAGCACTAGTTGGATCATTCTCAAAAATATCAAGGTTTATTTTGCTTGGAGCAGGCAATGAAAGTAGTTTCAATTCCTCTGTTAAGGACGCCATGATGAATTTGCACTGATCTCTGTTGAATGTCACTGGATGGGTATATTCGACCAGGCTGCCGTCGTTTGCATCTAAGCATGAACAGCCAGATCAGCATTCGGAAGTTAATTACGAGGTTAATTTGCTCAGCCAATCAGCGTGAGACTAGTTAAATAAACCTAATTTTGAAGCAAACATGAAGGTTTAATACCTTTAACGTCAAATTGTTCTTAACTGTGACTATTTATCCTTACATGCAAACAATGGCAGATCTTTTGAGCAAAGCAATAAAACAACACAGAAAAAGCAAAAACACAATATTAATTTATTGACATATTCAATTAGTTACTTCAAACACGTAATCAACTAAAAACACATCAGTTCCTGTGCCAAGCAAAATCCCAGTTTGTAAAAACATGTAACCAATACTAGACGCCAACCCCTCCTCATATTTCTTCCCAGGAATTCCTGGGGCAAGAAGCATCATGGCTGCACACAAACCATAGCCATTGACCAACCCTAGCAGCCCGACTGTAAGGTAAGCCACCCAGTCAGCCTGCAAGCCTGACACACATGGTTTAAAATAGATAAGAAGAATTGGTATTGCAATGACTAGTTGAACAAAACAGTTGAATATCACCGTCCTTTTGCTGTATATTATACCAACTATTGGCAAGTTTTTACCAATGGCGTCAGCAACGGAGAAACAACCAAAAAGAATGACAATAAACCAGCCAGTTGTTTCACTATCAGGGGGTGGAGTTGTTGTGGGTTGGGAGGTAGTGGTGAGATTGTCGGAAAACGTGAAGTTTACAGAACGGTGGTTAGTGGATGAACAGTTATGGTTTCCATGAAATTGTGATGTAATTCCGGGAAATAAAGCATTTGAGATGACCAAACTCAAAGCAACGGTAGCAAGTGCGGGGAAGTTATGTTTTATGATTTGACGACGAGACAAGTTCATAGTTGCTTCGGTGCTGCTAAGAAGTGGCGTGTGTTCACCCGGCCTTTCATGGTTTTGATTCACCGCAGCCAATCGCCTTGCGTATTCAGCCTTGGTGTAATTTCTCAACACAATCATCAGGAAGCAAGCGATGATAATAATTAGGTCTACTAAAGCGACAAAAAGATAACCGCTTAGTCGAAATCCTCGTTTTCTGTCTTGCAGATGCTCAAATGATCCTTTCGACACACAGCGGATGACAAAAGTAGCTGCAAAGGCACACACCCCACCAGACTGGGCTGCATGTACTCCGAAACTAGGAAAATGGTTTCCCACGAAGTCATATAGCGCTCCTCCGCCGACGTTTTGTATTATAGCTGCTAGGAATATAACTGCAAGGATAAGTCCGAAGCGAAGTGGGGTAGACATGTTTTCCAGGGGGGTTAAAATAACTACAACAACGAGTAAAATGGCGGAGATTACCTGAGTCAATAGTAAGACAGTGAAATGCTTTCCTCGAGGTGGAAAAACGACAGTCAAAATAGCGCCAGCACTCGCAGCAACTCCAACGGTAACGGCAACATAAACTTCGGGCTTGTAGTGTTTAGGAAAGAAAAAATTAAAATAATCCACAGCATTGAAACTGAAGAACACTGCGCTTTGTACGGACGCACCAAGAAACCAACACGCCATGTAAAGCATTTTTGGGATAGCCATGATGCCGGATTAAATCTTTCGTTTGCTTTTCAGTCCTTCAACTGTTGACTGCAACAAGCTATGGTCAAAATGGCAGAATGATCCTAAACTAATTCCTTGAAATACTAAAATTGAAACATTAAACAAATACCTAGAAATTGATCATGTGCTCATCGTCACATGTTTTAAATATGCGGTCAGCACATGATCATGCAATTTCTAGGTATTTCGACACTTATTATAATATCTGACAGTTACCGGAATTTCTTCTTATTCTCGTGATCTCATCTTCTTGGTAAAAGCTAATGAGTCGTTGGTGGGAAAACGATTATTTAACTACATGCTTAACGTAACATTCGCGGTATTAAACTGTTGCATTTGATAGCGCAGACGGCGCTGTTAATTTTGAAGTAGTGCACAGACTGCGGTATTTAATTCTAAAATACAAATATAATGACAATATAATATAATAACAATAGTTAAGGCACGAAATTTATTTAGTCGGTCTTGTTACATTACCACAAGTTAGCCTACCACAGATGAATATAGTTATTAACTGAATCTCAGTGCTGATTATTATTTTAAAATTGAAGTTATATATATTAAGTTCTAACATTTTCATGTTGCAATTACATACGTGCAATAAATGATAAGCTGGCTTGAGGCACATATATATCAAATTATCAAAGTTAATGTGTTCATGGTACATATATGAAGTTCGATGTTTTAATAAAAATATTGGCTAAGCCTATTTATCTTTTCATGCCTACGAGGTAAATCGATGCCTTATAACCGGCTATAAAAAGCATCCTATAGCTATAACTAGATATGGGTGTAAACATTTATGAATGCATGTGTCAAATCATAGGCATAGCAACTCAAAATTATGGAACATTACCCACAACTTAAAATCACGTCCTGAGATTTAATTATGCTATTAAGGTTTACACATTATAGTTCGTTGTTGGTTGAGCCAGCCAACATGCTCAATGGATGTCGTCATGCACTAGGATCAAAATAACATATCATAATTTTACACTCGAAAGACATTAAAGATAATCTAAACAACAGGCAAAAGTAAGCAATGTATTTTTATTTTATTGGAATTATTGATAAATAAATGTGCGATATACATTATTAACAAACGTTTTCTTCATATTTATTTGATTATACTTTAAATATCGTTATATTCAATATTGATTACAAATTTCAATTTAAACTTTAATCTTAAACATGAAACTCTAACTTCCCAATGTTAAATATAAATCGAATTCGTGAATATATAAGGTCTAACTTCTGCATTATTATAGTTTAGGCCGTGGATCTATTCTAGAACATAAAAACCCAAACAAGGCCTGGAGACATTGTCGTATTTTCCGTCAAAATATCTCTCTATGACAGGCAATGACCGGTGATAGACTACCACGTATTCCTCACACCTTTCATAGATTTCACTAACTACAGAAAGGAAAGCCACTTCTTTCAACAGGTATTCGACGCCTTCTTCTAAATCAATTGCGGTATTCCTCCTGTTCTCCGACATGTTTTCTTCGCGGCCATTTTTCAGTGAGACAAGAGCAAGCTGGGTGCACCCCTGGATATCCTTCTGAAACTGATCATTCACTTCGTATAAATGTTTCACATAGTTTAGAGCATTGATGTACGAGTCTGAGGTTTCGATATCACGACTCCAATCGATGTATTCAGTCGATTCATTTTGTATTCCACAAGAGTGCATAGCTTCTTGACATTTATTTCGAAGACGATTTGCATTCATTCTGGCAGACTTCTCTGGATTCCTACTACGAATAGCTCTGTAGTTGTGTTCAGATAGTTTATCCGTCAGAAACAGCAAGATCTTAGAGAGAAAATGCACAATTATTGAAAGTGTGGCTGGCTTTCACTCGTGCAGCAAATGGTGTAACCGTCTGTGGAGTGTTAAAATAAATCCAATCCTTTGTATTATTAATCTTACCTTCTGATCAGAGTTTTCCGTCGCAAATTGAAACATTTTTTGAAGATTCTCCACTTTGTAGAAAAACGAATTTCCAGGACTGATTCCCAACATAATGGTTCGTTTGTTTTCTAAATATATTCGACCATTCTTGACAGTTTGTGATTCTTCCATTTTGATGACAATCTGATGTTCACTGTGAGCTGGAGACGTTCACTATGAGCTTTGTTCCAGATCTTGAAACGACCAACTTATTTCTAATTCTAACACCCACACATCACATGATTTCATGCGGTATGTGTCACATGATGGTACATTTTCTTGCCAAATACATTATGAAAACGCTAGTGCTAACTCGGCGATCTATTCTTGTGGACTCGAGAATCTGCCTGTGGTCGATACATAGCTGGATAAATAGAATGCTAGAACATTTGACTTATCAACAAAAATAATTCTTGCGAAATCAATTCTAAGTATAAATGCTTTAAGTTTTGACTTTTGAGTATGCTACCATTTTCCTGGGAAATTACCTTCAGTATTTTCACATTGATCGAGGTAATAGTTTCCTGTTGAATTCTGGGAAGAATATATACAGTGCAATATTGTGCAATAATGCTACATCAAAATAAGATATTCTAAACGATAAACGTTTCAACATTAACCTAGTGACAGGATGTTTTAATCGAGCTAAACTTGAAACAACATTCTATATATTAGTTTTATTAATCATATAAAAATTAATAATTTGAGAAATAATTCGAAGTAAAACTGTCGTGTAATATATAATATCGGGGAATATTCCAAGAAGATGAGATCACGAGAATGTGAATTTTCCAAGAAGATGAGATCACGAGACGAAATTTCAATTACTGTCAGATATTATAAGTGATTTCTTCCCATGTCGAAATATCTGCAAATTGATCATGTGCTCATCACATGTTTAATAGAATAAATATAGACAGAGCTTCCAGGAATAAAGCGCAGATTGCTGTTAACTCACATGATTCAGGACTCAGCAGCATTTTCACTTCCAACAGACTTACACAGAGGTACATCTGCAGGTACAGTACGTATTGTCAGGCAGTGCACAATTTGAAGCAGCCAAGTTTGAAACATGGACAACGTTGCTTACACAATGTTAGCTGCGATAATAACCGCTATTCTAGCTCTACCAGTTCTATACAAGGTGCTACAGGTGGGTAGCGCAAAATTCTTAATAATTAGATAAAATATAAATAGTTGTTTAGTGTTTCTATACATTACGCTGAGAACGAAAACTTTACAGTATACGATCTTGTTAGTTTACCACAATGAACATATATCATGAAACCACTACCTCAGACTAGAATTTTCTTTGATTTACATTAACGTGTATTTTATTTCCTAGTTATGCTTGGTCGTCCTTCGAGTTCCTTGGAAAAACAAAGCTGGTCAACGAATGCCAGGAGAACTCCCAAAGTTGCCATTTGGTCATTTCAATGAAGTAAATTTCTTTGGTCGAGAATGTTCAAAAAAATATGGACCTGTTTATTATATCTGGCATTGCTTTGCACCTGTAGTGTATGTCAATGTATACCTTTTCTAAGGCTTTTACAGTAAACTAAAATAATTCCTGATATATTCTCAGAAATAGTTTTTAAATTTTCTTCTTTGACCACATTCCTGCTGCCTCGTAACACTTAACTATCGATAGAAAAGATTATATATAAACTCTTCTTTTACAGAATATTATCAGACGCGAAAGCCATACGTACGTTTTATACCGACCATTATTCCCATGACCGTGAGAGCGATATGACTTGTCTGGGGACTGTGTTCAAAGGGATCCTAGGTCGTTGCCTAGCAACAAGCCATGGTAGAGATGACGTCAGGAGATGTAGAGGACCATTTGAGAAATACTTCTCGGCTACAGCAACAGCCAATCATATGACAGTTATAGGGCGGGAATGTCAGGCATTCATGAAGACATTGCCTGTAGGGCAGCCCATAGATCTGAAGGCAAGCAGACTAGAAGATGTCACACTTCGCGTGATTATACATGTAGTCTACGGGGCGGAAGTGCTCGAGAAATATTTTGATAAGATTGTCGAACTTGAATGTCTGCTCCAAGAGACAGTAGGTTTGGTCAATGTTGGTGCAACACGACTGCCATTTTACTCAAACCTTCCCACTGCAACAAACAAGAAAGTAGTAGCTTTCAACAAAGCATGGACTACATTCAACCGCTTCTTGTTTGCCTTATTTGAAGAAGGAAAGATAAGCGGTGGGGATGGGCTGTTTTTCGAAACCATGGCACTGCTCAAGACTCATGCTTTGGAAATTGATGAGGAAGAGGTGGGTACATGAAGTTATGATTTAGGACATGAGATGCAGATATAAATAGGAACACAATAGGGTGATTTAGGATAATATATATATTCGAGAATAACGAAAGCATAATCAAAATGAGAAAACTGTGCTTTTATTCTTCTCAATGATAGACGTAGTCTTGTATTTAAAGGTAAATCAATGGAATAAATAATGATAAACCCAGCAACCAAACACATGTAAAATTGCAGAAGACAACAAGACAGCAACAGGAATGAAACAACAAATGGTCTGATTTGAAGCCTATATTATTTTTGTGTGTTATTTCAGCTTCTCCACTCAGTAGATGAAATCCTCTTACTAAACATTGATGTGAGTTTCGCAGCCACGTCATTTGCCCTGTCAGACCTCGCTAGGTACCAGGACATTCAAGCAAAACTCCGAGCCGAGGTGGATGATGTATTACAAGGATGTGAACCAAGCAGCTGTGAGGACCTGGACAAGAGATTACCATATATGGAAATGGTTCTGAAAGAAAGTGCTCGTATGCATCCTGCACTAGCGCTCAGTCTCCCGGAGAAGACAGTGAAGAGTGTCACTGAGTTAGGAGATTATCAAATACCTCAAGGGGTAAAGCTTTCTTAGACATATTAATAAGATCAAAATATTATAAGACAACGAGACGCGGCTTAGAGAACAGTACTAGTGGAGTTTCCAACACAATGAGAAGCATATTTGTTAACCCAAATAGAAAGCTAAAACAGCTGAAAGGATTTCACATTAAAAAAATTTTTCTTGTTCTTACAGACTCCAGTATGCGTCGACACGTACTCGCTGAACTACTCTGAGACATACTGGAAAAATCCAGAAGAATTTAACCCCGAGAGGTTTTCTGCCGGTCGGAATCCAGTCCCTGGATCATTCTTCCGGTTTGGTATGGGTCCTAGGAAATGTCTAGGATATCGTTATGCACTGGCTATCACTCGAGTGGTTGTCACTTCATTTTTACAGAATTTTGAACTGCAACTGAGTGAGACTGAAAATTGTGTTAAAGTTAAACAAGCAGGAATGCCATTTTTTACACCGTATCTTTGTCCTGAGATAGTCTTGCAACGTAGAGACACTTAGTTATGTATAACCAGAAAATTATATAGCGCCTGCGTACGAGGCAAAAGAATGTTAACAAAACTAGAAATATCTCATTTGATATAGTGTTTGTAAATGAAGCTATTTTTTATAATTCAAAATAAAGTTTTCATTCGTTCATTCATTTATTCAAAAGCCTTTGTAACAGACATTTGGCTCGATGTTCGTTATTGACATCGCGTTGGGACTATACCTCTTCATTGTTTGTGATCCGAAAAAATATAGTACTGTTTAATAAACGAGCAGCAGTGTTTTATTAGCCAATAAGCTTATGAATTATTAATGATGTTTGAAACGTGTTTTCATGTACAGTTTAAGATTCAGACTATGTGCACACGGTAACGTTTTCGAGCGTTTTCATTTGTGTTTTCACGCTAAAACGGATACAAACACTATCAGTTTATGACAGAAGTTGTACTTTATTTAATATATCCGAGATATTTTCCTTTGGGCTGTGCGAATACGGCGTCAAAACGATTTTACGGACAAAAACGTTTTTCAAAACGCTGCAAAACGACGCCCGTGTGCACATAGCCTCAATTAATTAAATCTACTCAAACGACCCTGTTCAGTACAATGTCATGACAGTACGTCTAAAAATTCTTGACTTATCATTTCTTCCAAGACATATCCTTTATGTTACTTAATCCGTCCATGTATAGCTGTTCTATGCCAATGTTTCGTAAAATATACTTTAGATATTATTTTATCTTTAGTTATAATTAAATAGAGCATTTTGATACAGAATACTGATACATACATATATACCACTTTGTTTTACTCACGACTGCTATGTCTTTAAGCTTTCTCTGGTTTCCATTCTGGATCAAAATGACTTTTAATATCAGACCAGACCTTGTAGTAATCTTTGTCCAGTTTCTCTGACGTTTCTGCCGCCCATTTTGTAACAGCCAAACTTAGACACGACTCGAACATGAACGCCTAAACCAAAGAGAATTAGGAAAAGTGAGGCAACTGTCTTCGTCGCCACCTGACGAGAGAGATAAAGACAACTTCGAGGTTCACGTAAAGGTTTACAAAAGTTCATTGTTTGTCGAGCTCAACAGCCTGGATAGATGTCATTAATAGGGTCAAAATAACATAGAAACCAGCGTAATTACGACCAAAAATGAGGATAGTTATCATTGAATGCTAGCTACACTGGTGAGTTCAAATGAAAAGTGGGCTCCACAATAGAGACGTATACAAACCATTGTGCCATCTGCAACTCTTTCAGGTACTAGATTCTCAACATTCGATGCTTTTTCAAAACATTCTTTATCAGGACCATGTGGTGTCATCATGCTATGTAAGCTTGCTCCACCAGGGGCAAATCCTTCCTCCTGTAATCAAGTTACGGCGAAGTTACAAGTAGGTTTCACGAAGCACTATCGTGCAGCAGATGGTCGTCAACCAACAGTTGTCAGAGTGAGAAAATAACAACTTTATTTATACTGCATATTTCTTTCAGTTCTAAACTGTTCTTCCTAGAGGTCCAGTAAGGATCATCTCTTATTGATCCAGTGTTACTACAGGAAGAAACCTAAACTAAACTAACTTTATTTATACTGGATAGCTCTATCAGTTCTAAACTGTTCTCTGTAGAGGTCCAGTAAGGATCATCTCTTATTGATCCAGTGTTACTACAGGAGGAAACCTAAACTAAACTAACTTTATTTATACTGGATAGCTCTATCAGTTCTAAACTGTTCTCTGTAGAGGTCCAGTAAGGATCA